TAGTTCTTTTGAAAGCTGTCTATGGAGGTCCTTTACTCATTTCTTAACTGGATTGATTGCTTTTTTTGTTGTTGAGTTTTTTAAGTTGCTTTTTTAAAAATATTTTTGAGATTTATTTATTTTGAAAGTCAAAGTTATAGAAAGAGAAGAAGAGACAGATATCCTCCATCTGCTTGTTCACTCCCCAGTTGGCCACAAGGGCTAGAGAGGCCAAAACCAGGAGCCAGGAGCTTCACCTGGGTCTCCCACACAGGTATCAGGGGCCCGAACACTTGGACCATCTTCTGTTGTTTTTTCCAGGCCGTTAGCAGGGAGCTGGATTGCAAGTGGAGTAACAAGGACCGAATCCAGCTCCCATGTGGAATATCTGTGTTGCAGGTGATGGCTGTACCAGCTACACCACAATGCAGGCCCCAGGTTGCTGATATATTCTGGATATTAATTAATCCTTTGTTGGAGAGGCAGCTTGCAAATATTTTTCCCATCCTGTTGGATGTATCTTCACTCTATTGACCCTTTCCTATACTGTGCAGACATTTCTGAGTTTGACATAATCCCATTTGTTTAGTTTTTCTTTTGCTGCCTGTGCTTATGGGGGTCTTGTTCAAGCGGTAGTCCCTTACACCAAGGCTTTGGAGTGCTTCTCTTATATCTTCTTCCAGTAGCTTCATACTATCAGGTCTTCAAATTAGGTCTGTGATTCATCTGGAGTTGATTTCTGTCTGTGATGAGAAGCATGGATCTAATTTTATTCTTCTATGTATATCCATCCAGTTTTGCCAGCACCATTTGTTGAAGAGATCATTCTTACTCCCGTGCATGCTCTGAGAGTTTTTGTTAACAATCAGTCAGCTCTATGTACATGGATCAATTCCTGGGTTCTCTATTCTGTTCCACTGATCTATGTGTCAGTTTTTATGCCAGTACTATGCTGTTTTAATTACTACAGCTTTGTCGTATGCTTTGAAACCTGGTGTTGGGCTGCTTCCAGCTTGGTTTTTCTTGCTTAGGATAGCCTTGTCTATTCTGGGACTTTCCTGATTACATATGAGTTTTGGATTTTTTCTATTTCTGCAAGGAATGTCATTGGTTGTGGAGAAGAAGGTTTCTGCCAATGCACTCCTAGTGAAGGTATTTTCTGCCTAGAACACAGAGGGTGACCATGGGGACCGATTAAGGATAGTTTGTGATCTACTAACAAGAAGAGCATTGAGCCCTTGTGAGAACATTGGCTTCACAAGGACACACAGCTGCTTTCCCAGACATGCTTATCCAACATGTCTTGCTAAACATGTTTTAGAGAAACCTTAGAGTTATATGAACACACACACGCGCTGTACAATAGACTGTTTTTTTTTTATTTTTTTGACAGGCAGAGTGGACAGTGAGAGAGAGAGAGACAGAGAGAAAGGTCTTCCTTTGCCATTGGTTCACCCTCCAATGGCCGCCGCGGCCGGCACGCTGTGCTGATCTGAAGCCAGGAGCCAGGTGCTTCTCCTGGTCTCCCATGGGGTGCAGGGCCCAAGTACTTGGGCCATCCTCCACTGCACTCCCTGGCCACAGCAGAGAGCTGGCCTGGAAGAGGGGCAACCGGGACAGAATCCGGCACCCCGACTGGGACTGGAACCCGGTGTGCCGGCACTGCAAGTCAGAGGATTAGCCTAGTGAGCTACGGCACCAGCCCAATAGACTGTTGTAATCCTTATCGATGAAGGAAACGCACTGAGTTGGCCTGCCGGCACTTTTCGGAAGAAAAGTTCCTGGGTCATCTCTCTCCTTTCATTTGCCCACCCCAACAACTGGTACTTCGATAGGGACGGCGTGGAATTTGTGGATTGCTTTATGTAGTACAGACATTTTAATGACATTGATTCTTCCAATCCATGAGCAGGGAATATCTTTCCATTTTTTGTGTGTCCTTGATGATTTCACTTGATAATTTTCATTGTAAAGATCTTTCAATTTTTTGGTTAAATTTATCCTATATATCTGATTTTTTGTGGCTATTGCATATAGGATTTATTTCTTAATTTCTCTTTCAAGTGACTGATTTTGTGTATTTGTTTTGTAAACTGCAACTTTACTGAATTGGTTTATCAGTCCTAACAGCTTTTCAGTGGAGTGTTCAGGTTTTCCCATGTGCAGCATCATGTCATCAGCAAACATGGATAACTTGACTCCCTCTTTTCCAATTTCACTGTCCTTTCTTTCTTTCTCCTCTTTGATGACTCTTGCTAAAATTTGTAGTAATATTTAAATGAGTGGTGAAAGTGGCCATCCATTCCAGACCTGAGGGGAAATGCTTGCAGCTTTCCCCTTTCAATGTGATGTTGGCTGTTGGTTGGTCACATATAGCCTCTATAATTTTTAGGTATGTCCCTTCTGTACCTAAATTGTGGAGAGTTTTTACTTGAAATGGTGTTTAATCTAATAAATGCTTTTTTATGTATTGAGATAATCATGTGATTTTTATTCTTCATTCTATTGATGTGATTTACGATATTTATGGACTTGGAAATGTGGAAACTACCCTTGCATTTCTCAGATAAATCACATTTGATTATGATGAATGATCTTTTTAAAAATAAATGAAAATTATGAAATATTTTTTAAAAAAGAATATAATTGTGGTTACCAGAGTCTGGGGAGGGGTGAGGAAAAGAAGGATGTTGAAAGATGGATTAAAGGGCACTAAGCAAACATGTGAATCAGTCATATTATGTGCAATTCTCATGATAGACTCTGAAACTGGATTATACAGTTCTGATTGTGGCACACACATTGTGACCTTATGACTTTGGGCAGCTTTCCTAACTTCTGTGTTTCAGTTTCCATTTCTAAAATTGGGATCCCATCACACAGATTTTTCAGGAGCATCAAAGAGGTAACATTCACAAAGTAGTGTAGAGCATTTTAAAATATTTATTTATTTGAAAGGAGAGTGACAAAGAGAAAGGGAAAAATGGAGAAAGAGATCTTCCATCTGCTTGTTCATTCCCCAAAGGCCACAAAATTTGGGACTTGGCCAGGCCAAAGCCAGGAACCTGGAACTCCATCCTGGAGCTCCCAAATGGGTGAAAGGGATCAAGTTCTTGAGCCATCTTCTGCTGCTCTCCCAGGTGCACTAGAGGGGATTTGGATTGTAAATAGAGTAGCCAGGGCTCAAACCAGCACTCCAATGTTGGATGTTGGCATCACAAGCGATGGCTTAACCCACTGTGCCACAATGCTAGTCCTAGTTCTTGACAAATAGCAAAACTTGTGTAAATATTGGCTAAATAAAATGGCTAACTTCAGCATTCCCATATTTTCCAGACTTTCAGGGACTTCATTTTATTTCATTTTCCAAATATTCTCATAAATTCCTTTAATCTCTAACATTTTCATGTTTTTGTTAACATTGTGTTGAGGAGCTTGGTCTTGAAGTCAATCTGATAGGGTTAAGTTACTCCTGACTTACTCGGTGCCTTATCCAGAGAAAGACAGCCACTTCAAACTTCTCAGTATGCTAAGCTATGAAGTGGGAGGTCTATTACTACATATATCAACAGGTGTGAGGAGGAAATATTAGTTGAAAGTACCTACATGTGATCATTTAAGAAAACATTTAATAAATAGTAAAATTACTACCACATTTTTCACCTATGTAGAAGTGAGAAATGAATCCTGAGTTCTCTATCAAGGGAAAACAAGTATTTCCCACTTCACAGAAGTGGGACTTTGGGCTCTGGCGCTGCCCTGGAACTTGGTTACTCTTGAAGGCAGCAGACTTCTGAGAGATCAAGGTTTCCCTGGCCCAACACAGCTGTCTCTGCTGAGAAAGTAGCAGTCCATCTAGTCCTAACCAAGCTTTACTTGGGACAGCCGACAACCACGTAAAGTTCTGAAAAGAAGACAGAGGGCAAGGTGGGGCGGGCAGATCCACACCCGGCAAGCTTCCTCCCCGGCTGTGCTGCCTTGGCTCTCAGCTGGCTTTCTCCACGGAGACTGGTGTGGATAAAAGGATTTTTGTAAGGGGTAAAGCCTGATATAACTTGTGAAATAAACATCATAGAAATTTCATTTAAAAACAAACCTTGGGGCCGGTGCCATGGCATACAGGTAAAGCCTCTGCCTGCAGTGCCAGCATCCCTTATGGGCACCAGTTCCAGTCCCTGCTGCTCCACTTCCCATCCAGCTCTCTGCTATGGCCTGGGAAAGTCCTTGGGCCCCTGCACACATGTGGGAGACCCAGAAGAAGCTCCTGGCTCCTGGCTTCAGATCAGCACAGCTCCAGCTGTTGCGGCCATTTGGGGAGTGAACCATCGTATGGAAGACTCTCTCTCTCTCTCTCTCTCTCCCTCTGCCTCTCTGTAACTCTGTCTTCCAAATAAATAAACAGAATCTAAAAGAAAAAAAATCACTTAGACATAAATAAATAAACCCTAAAAAAACAAATCTCAGCTTTGTTTGACAAAATCCAATACTTACTGAGAAAAATACAGAAAAGAACAATGGAAATATGAAAAATAACAGCTGTTAAAATCACCACTTTATTTCTTTACAGTTGTCACAGGTAATCCACAGAGCAATCTGAAGTCTTACTTGGTGTCATAAGAGAGAGAGAGTGGACAGAAGGTCCACTCTAAGTCACCTGGGAAGGGAGCACCTTTGTGGTAATTCATTTCTCAGAACACAAAATGGCGGTGGAGGTGAGGACGGAACTGCCATTTTTTCCTGGGGGCATAGAACTCAGGTGAAGTCTAACCTTGTCACAGGGAGTCTGCAGACTTAGATTTGAGTTCTGATTTTGCCACTGCCTTCCATGGGGACCACAACTTCTTGATCTCTAGAAGGAGAAGAAAAGAAAAAAGGCAAAAGTGTGTTAAATGTGTTTTTACCCCAATCTGCAGGTCTCTGGGAAGAGCAGAGGACGTCTAGGAGAGAGGAGCTTAAGGAGTTAAGCTTAAAGTCACAAAGGGAGGAGGGGACAACAGAGTCAGACCATGTCACAGAAGGGGCCAGAGTGGGTCAGCAAATATATAATGCTCTTGCAGGGAATTTCAGGATCAGAGAGGAGACCACAGGACCTTGGGTTGGCCTGTGTGTTTCTCTCTTTCACCCACACAGAGGTAGCTCCCAGCTGCACTTATCTATTCAGGTCTTGATACAAACTGGTTTGAAGACATTAACGAATTCCTCGTTTCTCTCCTCTCCCTGCACTGGTGTTTCTTCCCTACCTGTCTCCTCAAGAACTGCTCACGGCGTGATCCACTCATCTGTGGCTGGCCACACTGCGGCCTGCCATGAAGGGCCACTTCATGCTCATTCTCTTGTCTGCAGCTGGTGAGAGTCTGGGGCCTTGGGTCTGCCTGGGGTGAGACTCAGGGTAGTAGATGAAGGGTTGGAAAGACAAGCAGCCTGCCAACTAAGACAGACAGGGAGGGGAGAGCGTTTTCAAAATCATCAACTGTCAGAACAGAGGGAGCATGCTCAATGCCCAGGGACCGACAGGCTCCCTTAGCCTCTCTGCGTCTGGAGAGCATGCCAGGACACCGCCCGTGCCTCTCTGTCGCCTGCGATGCTGCGGCCAACCTCCTGACCTGTAATTCCCAAGCTGCCACTTTCTAGCACAACTGCACGGCTCTTTGCCAGGGCAGTGACCGTTAGAGGTCATCAGCCCTGGAAAGGAGAATGGGCAAGGCTGGGGACTTGGGAAGCCCCGAGATTTCCATTCCTTTCGCTACCAGAGTGAGGCAGCATTCGATTTTCTACCCCCATTCTTAGCCAAATTTAATATCTAAAATGTTTTTAAAGTAATACATAGCATGGCCAGAGTTTGATCCCTGGGTGATGAGCTTTTGAGTTAGTCTCCATCTCAACCAAAGACAGTTGTCAGTTTCCTGAAAATGTGTAGCTTGGGGTGTCATGCATGATTTCCTCTGATTTTTAAAAATGTCAAAAAGAACTTGATTTTAGCTTTGAAAACAGGTTATAGAAAACTATCACAGTCAGTTCTGGTCTCTTGAATTGTTTGTCTCTCTTTCTACCTATGACCCTCTTGCTTCTCCAGGGGCCACTCTGGACAATAACCTTATAGAAAAGCCACACTCGGCAGGATTTACTATTCCGTACCTGGTCTATCTCCAGTCCAAGTCAGGACCCTGTGTAGGGTCTCTTATCCACCCAGAGTGGGTATTGACGGCTGCTCACTGCTCCTTACCGTAAGTACCTTGTTGTTTGTCTTAGGAGCTTGGAGGAATCTATTCAAACGAAGTAGATCTGGCCAAGCATTTCAGTATGTTGTTAATGAGATTGGAAGATCCAGGAGGAGGGAAAGTCTTCTTCCAGATGGCAAACAGAACACATTTGGGTAGTTTAAGAAAGGATTCATAGGTGTCCAAAGACTGTCATGGAGAATAAATTACATGCATTCCTCAACAAATACTTATCGAACTGTACAGAAAGAGACTGAAAAAAAATGAGGAAACAAGAAAGAAATATGTGTTTCTTTATGGAGCTTGCATTGTAGTAGATAAAGAAAGGCAAAGCAAATAAATGGCCAAAAACCAAGGATGAAAATGACTGTTGAGCTGTAATATATGAGAATGAAACAAGAGTTCTGCTTTAGTTAGGCTGGTCATGGCAGTCTTCTCTGAACAGGGAGATTAACAGGAAGAAGAGACAGGCAGAAGAAGAAAGCCTGGAGATATTTCCAGGGTACAGGAATAATAACATCCCTATAATAATAGCCAGGAGGTCAGTGTTGCCTGAGCATAATTGGTAGGGAGGGCATTTCCGGGATAAGATGTAGAATTAGGCAGAAGCTATATAATGTGGGTAACAGTGGAAGGACAAAGGATTACTGCACACAATAACACAGTTCCTTGCAGATGTCAGGGTTCCTGCCCTATGTGGGAATATGTGAGTGAATGAGATCTATTCAAAGTTTGAGGAGTATCTTGAGTACAAAACTCATTTCAACATCACAACTCTTAGTCATCTTGATGCTCAAGCACGATTGAACTGCTCTGTGCCTTTTTGGAACTAGCCAGGAATTAAAGGCAGTTCCTGTCTCCCAATCACGGATCCTTTCTCTCATCCATACCCATCACAGGAACTGCTTTTGGCAGGGAGTGACTCGTGTGTATGTTGGCAGTGGAAGTGGGAGGATCTGAAGTTTTCCAGGGAATACAATGGGAGATGGTAATTTGGAGAACTGATAAATTGGTTCCTTACTCTTGTGAGGTTCTGTTAAATGTAGGCAACACATGGCAAATACAATGATTTCGCCTAGAACAGCAGGGAAAGGCCCTACCTATCCATAAACAATGGTGACTATAGGCTTGCTCCAGATTTGCTTGAGGCAGTGTAGAACAGACAAAGAACTGCGCAGGCATGGATTGTGGTGCCACCTCTGGTACCTGCTAACTAAGATTACCCAAATCTCGGTAACTCGACTGCTTTGAGAGCTTTCTCAGTGCTCCATACATCATGTCGGGCTTTACATATGCATGTGCTTACCCCAATCCTGCAACTATTATTATTTTATAAGCAGAGGAGGTCCCTTCAGTTTTATGGTAAAGAAATATAATTGGAAAAGGTGATCTCTGGTATTTCTTGCAACCTGACATTCCTTTCCATCTCTTCTGCCTTCTCTCTTTCAAAGTATTAATATCCGACTGGGAGTTATTCAACCAAGCATCAAAAATAAGAAAGAACAAACACGGAATTACTCGTTAACTGTACCCCACCCCGAATTTGATGCAAAATACCTCAAAAATGATCTGATGATGATAAAACTCTCCAAGGCTGCTGATATCAACAGCAATGTGGGAACTATAGCCATAGCCATGGAACCCATGCCATACAATGATTCCTGCTTTATCCCAACCTGGATCTGGAATGAATATAGAAATAGTAAGTATTTGACTTTGTACTCTTCATGCTGGGGGTGATGGAGATGTGAAAAAAGTGCTGAGATATACTTGTTGGAAACAACTACTATGAGATAACGTCATCAACCATCGAAGAATCTTATACAAGGACTGGAGGTCAGCCATACATTCAAAGAAACTTATATATGGTAGCCAACTTGACACCACAAATGGAGCAGGGAACTAGAGTAATATCTCTAGAGCACTCAACACCAAGGCCTGGGGAATGCAGCTCAGATAAAGGTAGAGACATTAGAAGTCCTCACTCCCAAAGAGAGTATTAAGACATCCTGTGGATGGGTGACTTACACACTGACAATTCCTGAAACCCCACCATTCAATTAAAGTAAGAGCAGTGGAGAAAAGAAAAGCAATATATACATGATATGATGAGGCAAAAAAAATAAAAAATAAAAAGATGCTTGCACCCCCTACCACAGGAACACCATCCCTGTGCAGAGACATGGTGAATCATTCCCACGGAGCCTGGCAGGAGGGAAGACGGTGAGGGAATCACTTGTTCTGTCACCAGGGCAGTTTCCATAGAGCGAGGGCTATTGTCCTGTTCACTGCTGCAGCCAAGAGTGCCCACTCAGATGCGGAGACTTGGCAGGTTCATTGTGAAGTCAGTTGGTTATTATGACATTGCTGGTGACCCTCTGGCTTGACATACCTCCTGGAAAACATGGTCACTGCCCATGCTGTAGACACACATCCTGCTCCCCTGTGAGCTCGAGTTGGAATGAGCTCAGAGAGCTGCTGCCTGCAGCAACCTGTTTGGTCAAGGGGCTTTGAAAGGAAGTAGATTTGTAATGCATCTGTTGGTCCCTGTTGGCTGTTACTTAATGGGGCTAACGAATCATGCCCTCTTCAGGTATCTTCAAAGGATGACAGAACTACCACATGACATCTGAAATAAAATGGTGAAATTAAATCTATTGCTTATTGTAGGAAGGCAGAACAGTTCTGACCAGGCTCAGTACCACTGGGCACAGCAGAAGCTAATGAGTTCATGGAGCTGTAGAGAGCTTGGAGTTTAGGATGGGAGGACTTCAGAGGCGTACATGGGTTACATATGCAGAAACATGATTATTTCCTGGCTGGCACTTTGAGATACATTTATTAGAGGGCATTTATACCTGAATGACAAGTTTTAAGAAGGAATGGGCTGGGCCAGCATTGTGGCCAAGGGAGCTAAGCTGCTGTCTGTAATGCTGGCATTCCATATCAGAGTGCTTGTTCAAGTCCAGGCTGCTCTGCTTCCAATCCAGCTCCCTGCGAACATGCTAGTAAAACAGGGGATGGTGGGTCAAGTACTTGAGTCCCTGCCACCCATGTGGGAGACCCAGATGGAATTCCATGCACTTGGCTTGAGCCTGGCCTAGCCCCGGCCACTGTAGCCGTTTGGGGAGTAAATCAGCAAATATCTTTTCACCTCCTCCTCCTCCACCTCTCCCACCTCCTCCTCCTCTTCCACCTCCTCCTCTTTCACCTCATCCTCTCTGCCTTTCAAATAAATAAATATTTATTTATTTAGAAAATGAAGTGATGGGATAAAATTGGTTTACTGGCTTGCTAAAGCTGTGTTCTCTGAGACAAGTTGTCCTGTATTAATCAGGTTTAAATCCTGCTTTTGGCACTTATCTTAGTTCCCATAAAATTTCAATTTATCTGTTTTGCAAAAAGAAACAAAAAGGGAGAACTTTTAAAATTCATCTATTTAATAAAAACGAAATATCAAGTGGAAACTTGCATGTTCTCAGTATTTTGCAACTTTATTTTTCAATTTATAAACAAAATGCCTGGAAATTTAAGTGAATGTATATTGTGAATAAATTGCAGTTTCTATGATATTTGTCTTTGTACATCTTATTTAAAGTGATCACTTCATATGTTACCAAATAATTGATTACATACCATCTGAAAATGAACCTAGAAAAGTTTTATTATGTAGGCTCTGCATGTCAGAATCATAGTGACGGGCTAAACCCCTAAATTCTGATGCAGAACTCCCAACATTTATTAGGAATTCATTCTTTCAAGTAACCTAAGTTACTTTTACATAACTTGTTACACTTGACTTAGTTCCCATAAAATTTCAAACTGGGGACCGGCTTTGTGATGTAGCAAGTAAAACCACAGATTGCAATGCAGTCATCCCATATGGGCACCAGTTCGTGTCCTGGCTGCTCCATTTCTGATCTAGCTCTCTGCTAATAGCCTGGGAAAAGCAACTGAAAATGACCCAAGTGTTTGGGCCCCTGCCATCCATGTAGGAGACCCAGGTAAAGTTGCTGGCTTCTGGTCAGCACTAACCATTGCAGCCATCGGGGCGGAACCAAATGGCTCGAAGATCTCTCTTCTCCCTCTCTGTCTGACTCTCCCTCTCTCTTTGTTAATTCTGAGTTTTCAAAATAAATAAATAAATGTTTTTTAAAATTACAAATGAACATAATCCCCCCAAAAAAGATTTTATTTATTTATGTGGAGATAGAGTTACAGAGAGAGGTAGAGACAGAGAGAAAGGTTTTCCATCCGCTGGTTCACTCCCCAAATGGTCACAACGGCCAGAGCTGCACTGATCCGAAGCCAGGAGCTTCTTCCAGGTCTCCCATGCAGGTGCAGTGACCCAAGCACTTAGGCCATCTTCTACTGCTTTCCCAGGCCACAGCAGAGAGCTGGATTGGAAGAGAAGCAGCTGGGACTAGAACCAGTGCCCGTTTGGGATGCCGGTGACACAGGCAGAGGCTTAGCCCACTATGCCACAGTGCTGGCCCCATCTCTCTCTCTTAATGACCTGACCTTTTCGGGTCTAACCTAGTTGAGGGCGCTTGACTGGAAATGCATGCGTATCCATCTGTAAGTGACACTTGGCTTAACTCCAGCAATCTCTGGTCAAGTCTCTGGTTTCCTTCCTCCTTGACGCTCTCTATCAGAGATGAACATTACAGCATACCTTAATAACAGCCTCTGCATCCTGAAGTCGCTGGTATAAGAGCAATTGTCTGACGAAGACGAATGAACTGATCCGTGAGGGAAATATTACATCTATGTGCATACATACACTTACACTCCCAGAGAAACCATTGATAAGCTGTTTAAATAAAAGCAGCTATGTACACAGAAAAATAGTCTCTCCCTTTATAATTAAATGTAAAAATGATGAATTAGATGCCCCAAAGTGGAAGGGGGATTCTGGGGACAATGGCCTTGTTACGGTCTTTCTCCTTGTGGTGCCACACAGTCTTCCCACAGTTATTTAAAAGGTTTACAGATCATGCATGGGAACAACACAGTGACAGACCTGGCGACCGATGAAGCAGGATTTGGGAATTCACGTCACTGACAGAAAGATTCTGATCTGGGAACGTTAGCAAGGATGGAGTTCTGCCATGACCTGCATTCGATAGTCTCAGGGATGAATTTATTTACAAAACGGGGGATTGTCACAAAATCACCTGTGATGAGGAGGGTAACTAGAGCTCACTCGTCTTCTGTTTCCCACAGACAGTGACGCTGACATCTTGACATGGATAAACGAACATGCACTTCCCACACAAGAATGCCTGAATGTACTCCAAAAACAGCAACAAGACATGACTTTGAACATCATGTGTATGGGCAAACCTCTGATTCCCATATCTGATATTAAGGTATTGCTGCTTCCTCCCACAGGGAGACAGGCAGACACAGCAGAAGGAGCACAGAGCTGAGGCCCCTTTCCCCTCTCCCTTCAGTCTCTGGGCTTGGAATTCATTCCTCCTCCATGCTTTTTTTTTTTTTCTTGTGAGAAGTATAATGCAGGTTTTTTTTAACTTTTATTTAATGAATATTCCTCCATGCTTTTAACGTGGGAGAGATTTGAACTGGAGCCACCTACCCCTTCCCTTTTGTTTGTACTCAGGTTGAGTCAATCTTGAACAAAGAGGTAAGACCTCTGTGGATGTGAAGAGAGGGTTGTCTCCTTTTAAGAAAAATAGGTCCATACCTTGGAATGGTTTTGCTGCAGCAATACATCAGTTCTTGGCATTTCTTCTTATGCTCTTGTTCCATGAGGACAAAGCCATATTGACCTCTCCTTTGTCCTCTCTGGCAGGAAGTACCAGCGGCGCCAGCCATCTGCAATGGGAGGCTGCAGGGAATCTTGTCTTGGGCCAAAGGCAGTATCATCCTAGGAAGTGAAGGTTTCTTTACAGAAATTCATCCCTACGCAAGATGGATCATGGCAATCATGAGTAAAAACTGAGACGCCCCTGTTCTCCCATACGCTCAAAGTCATCTCTTCATGATTCCCACAATAGATCCAACGAGAAAGCATCAATAAAAACTGACAGAACCTATACCATGACTTCCACTCTTTTTATCATGCAAGTTCCAAGAGTGATGAGAAATTTAACAACATCCCAACAATTTGTCCACTCTTTAAAAATTTGTTTTAATTGTCAGCTGCTAATAAGTGCTGCATTTGCTAGGGATACATGAATGAATAGAATATGGTCTTTGTCATTGGCTAGCTAATTACACTTATTTGAACAGCACAGAATTGAATGACAAAGGTGCACTTAAATGCATATTTGTTTCTGTTTTCTTATTTTTGGAGATTTGCAACAATCTGGAAAACCTCACAGATGAAACCCATAGCCAATATATATTTAAAAAATTAAGAAGCTAGGTATATCATAAAATATATGTAGATAGTCTACATTATCACTTACTACCTTAAAATATAAATGGGTTTATTATAAAAAGCTAGAACTTCTCAAAATATATGCACGCAAACACACAATGTCCATGGCACCATTCCCAGTAGAGAGGAATGAAAACAAATATAAATGTGCAGTATTAAAACATAATTGTATAAAATGACTGTAGTACAGAATGCACTACTATGTTAATTTCATAGCCGCCACCTATTGCATTATTAGGGTATCAAAAATTATACATGAATTTTCAACTCTGCAGAAGTGTCTGCGCCCCATATTGCTCAAGGGCCAACTGCAGAATACTTTGTGACAATTTCTATAATGGTTATCAGAAATAAGCTCCATGAAATCATAAAACCAAACCTACAGGATGGCAGAATCAGGGGGAAAAGTAGCATCAAAGAGGTGGACAGGGGCTGGCACTGTGGCAAAGCAGGTAAAGCCACCGCCTGTAGTGCTGGCATCCCATATGGGCACCGGTTCTTGTCCCGGCTGCTCCACTTCTGATCCAGCTCTCTGCTATGGCGTGGGAAAGAAGTAGAAAATGGCCCAAGTCCTTGGGCCCATGTATCTGCATGGGAGACCCAGAGGAAGCTTCTGGCTCCTCGCTTCAGATTGGTGCAGCTCCAGCCACTGCAGTCAATTGGGGAGTGAACCAGTGGATGGGAAATCTCTCTCTGCCTCTCCTTCTCTCTCTATGTAACTCTGATTTTCAAATAAATAAATGAATCTCTTTTAAAAAGAGGTGGATAAACTATGGGAGGATAGAAAAGTATATAAAAGTGTAGCATGTTCTGGAAAATATATGCAAATAAACAATAATTGAGGGAAAAAACATCCACAGGTGCAGAAAAAAGCTTTAATAAACATGTTTTATGTGTGTGGGCAAAGGTTACATGCAGAGAAGGGCTGACCTACTCTACAAAGGAATTTGGATTCTCCTCTTGTAGACATTGAATAGCATGTCATTAAAGCCATTATGGGAAATAAAACATCATCAGACTTCTGAGTTGAGAGCTGCCGAGGAAGCAGAACCCACAAGACTCTGATGTAACAACTGTGAGAAGAAAAAGAATGGGAGACATCAGCGGTAATGCCCAAGTTTCTGACTTGGGCAACTGGGCAAACAGTAATCTCCAAAGATAATCTGAGAAGAACCAGTGATTTTGTGTGCAAAAGGGGGAGATCATAGTTGCATATCAGGAGATGTGCGGTATGCCATTTTTGAGATCCTTGAAGGGCATGGAGGCAGTCATTTCTAGCTGGAAGGAAACTGGAGAAAAAGATGTGGAACTCAGATGCTACCTGCAGTCCAGTACTTATGGGTAGCTGCTTCAGGCTTTGGAAAGACGCTTTGCTCCTGAGAAGAGCTGTGGCAGGTGCTCAGCGTTTTTCTCACACTGACACAGGGTCGGGAGACACAGAATATCCCAGTCCACTGGCCAACACAGCTGCAGTAGAGTTAAATAGACTCTAGTGACCTAGACGTTGGGGTTCAGAGTGTCACATGGGGGACCATGGAGAAACAGGCAGGAAAGGGGCAATGTGACATGGGGGTCCTCTGCTAAAAAGGCAAAAGAGAACACACAAGTGGCACAGAAGTTAATTTGCCACTTGGAACATCCACCTCCCATATCAGAGTGCTTGGTGTTTGTTACAGCTACTGCCAATCCAGTTTTCTGTTGATATGCACCCTAACAGTCTCAAATGCTTTGGTTTCCACCCCCTAAATGAGGAACTTGGATTGAGTTAGAGGCTCTTGGCTTTGGCCCTGGTTCAGCCCTGGCTACTGCAAGCAGACTCATAGAATGACGGTCACTTTAAATAGCACTCTGACCTCAGAATCAGCACTCAAGGTATTCTGGTCTACAGAAAAACCCGTGCACACACTTCAAACATGGAAAGCCAAGACACTGTGGCATAAAATGCCCCACATGAAGGATCTGTGTGGATGAGACCCCAACAGAAAGAAGTGGTCATCAAAGAAGGAGGTCTTTTCTCTGAAGGGAGGAGAGAACTTCCACTTTGCATATGGCCTTGTCTAAATACTTGACAGAGTTTGTGGATTCAAAAGGCTTCCACAGTCAAGGCAGCTCATGTGAAGAGCCTTGGGTTATCACTGACATTGTACATAAGAGTGTTAGTTGTTAAATAAACAGCAGGAGTCACTATGCACTAACTTCCCATGCAGGACCTCTGTCCTCAAAGAGTTGGATCATGAGAGTTAATACTAAAATTACTAAAATTGTTTGCAAAGATCTATCTTGTTTTAATGTATAAAGTGAAATATCTATGTCTCATAAGCTATAGTAATGTCTAAGGGCTTGCAAAAGATACACCTTTCTTGGGTTCTTCTTCAAAGTTACTTTTCGCAAAAAATATAAATTAAACCTCAGAAAGGTTTGCTTTTATTGAATTAAAAGGTATTTTCTTTATGTTAAAAACAATCCTATTGGTGTTCTATTGCACAGTACGGTAACAATATTTAACAATAACATATGGCACTTTTTTAAATAACTAGAAGAAAGACTTCTCAATGTTCACATTACAAAGAAATCTTGAGTATATGAACCAATGGATGCTAATTATCCTAATTTGATCTTTAAAATCTATGCATGCATCAAAATACTATATTGTACCCCATAAATATGTATAATTTTTGTTTGTCAATAAATACAAATAAAAAAAGAAATGAATCAATAGATGGATGGATGATCTCTGTCTCTTTTTCTCTGCCTTTCAAATAAAATGAAAATTTTTTAAAAAGACAAAATGGACAGAGAGTCAGTGAGATGGGAAAACATGTAAAACAGACTGTGGAAAGAAAAAGACGTTTGGAGTTCCATCCCATGGGGAAGGAAGCAAACTCAGAGTGTCTGCAGACTTATAACAGGTTGGTTCTTGGATATCCTCTTAGCCTGGATGTTTATCCTCTTTTTCTAAAGCAAAATAAATACATAAATAAATAGGTATTGGCATAACTGGCACATACACCAGATCATATTGGTTCTCAAATCCATATATGCAGGTAAATTAATGGAATATGTGCATCTTTTCCTTTTAGGTCTCTTTCCAAACTACAAACACCTCTGTGGTCTTCTCTCACAGACTTATGCCCATTCCCTTTGTTTCCTCCCGCTGATACACTGTCTAGTGTGCCAGTGCCCTCTTAAAGGGTCAAATCTGCAATTATGAAAGAGTTATTTTTTCAATAAAAAGGCTCAACTGATCATTTACAGTTCTTTTTTTATGGACTCTTTCTTTTTTTTTAACTTTTATTTAGTAAATATAAATTTCCAAAGTACAGTTTGTGGATTACAATGGCTTTCCACCCACCCCCATAACTTCCCTCCCACCCGCAACCCTCCATATCCCACTCCCTCTCCCATTCCATTCACATCAAGATTCATTTTCAATTCTCTTTATATACAGAAGATCAATTTAGTATATATTAAGTAAAGATTTCATCAGTTTGCACCCACACAGAACATAAAGTGTAAATACTGTTTCAGTACTAGTTATAGAATTAATTCACATTGGACAACACATTAAGGACAGAGATCCTACATGAGGAGTAAGTGCACAGTGACTCCTGTTGTTGACTTAACAATTTGACACTCTTGTTTATGGCATCAGTAATCTCCCTAGGCTCTAGTCATGTGTTGCCAAGGCTATGGAAGACTTTTGAATTTGCCAACTTCGATCTTATTTAGACAAGGTCCTAGTCAAAGTGGAAGTTCTCTACTCCCTTCAGAGAAATGTACCTCCTTCTTTGATGGCCTGTTCTTTTTACTGGGATCTCACTCACAGAGATATTTCATTTAGGTCTTCTTCTTTTTTTTTTTCTCCAGAGTATTTTGGCTTTCCATGCCTAAAATACTCTCACGGGCTCTTCAGCCAGATCCAAATGCCTTAAGGGCTGATTCTGAGGCCAGAGTGCTGTTTAGGACATCTGCCATTCTATGAGTCTGCTGTGTATCCCGTTTCCCATGTAGGATCATTCTCTCCCTTTTTTATTCTATCAGATAGTATTAGCAGACACTAGTCTTGTTTGTGTGATCCCTTTGACTCTTAGACCTATCAGTGTGATTGATCACTTGGACTAGTGAAATGGCATTGGTACATGCAACCTTGATGGGATTGTATTGGAATCCCCTGGCACATTTCTAACTCTACCATTTGGGGCAAGTCCGATTGAGCATGTCCCAAATTGTACATCTCCCCACTCTCTTATTCCCACTCTTATACTTAACAGGGATCACTTTTCAGTTAAATTTAAACACCTAGGAATAATTGTGTGCTGATTACAGAGTTCAACCAATAGTATTAACTAGAACAAAAAATACTAAAAGGGATAAAATATTAAATTGTACATCAACAGTCAGGACAAGGGCTGATCAAGTCACTGTGTCCATTTCACTTCAAGATCACTAGCAAACAGGGAAATGCAAATCAAAACCACAATGAGGTTTCACCTCACCCCAGTTAGAATGGCTCACATTCAGAAATCTACCAACAACAGATGCTGGTGAGGATATGGGGAAAAAGGGACACTAACCCACTGTTGGGGGGAATGCAAATTGGTTAAGCCACTATGGAAGTCAGTCTGGAGAGTCCTCAGAAACCTGAATATAACCCTACCATTCAACCCAGCCATACCACTCCTTGGAATTTATCCAAAGGAAATTAAATAGGCAAACAAAAAAGCAGTCTGCACATTAATGTTTATTGCAGCTCAATTCACAATAGCTAAGACCTGGAACCAACCCAAATGCCCATCAACAGTAGACTGGATAAAGAAATTATGGGACATGTACTCTATAGAATACTATACAGCAGTCAAAAACAACGAAATCCGGTCATTTGCAACAAGATGGAGGAGTCTGGAAAACATCATGCTGAGTGAAATAAGCCAGTCCCAAAGGGACAAATGTCATATGTTCTCCCTGACTAACTGAACACCAAAGGGGAAACCTGTTGAAGTGAAATGGACACTATGAGAAACAGTGACTTGATTAGCTCTTGTCCTGACTGTTGATGTTCAATGTAATACTTTACCCATTTTAGTATTTTCTCTTTTTTTGTTTGAGTACTATTGGTTGAACTCTGTGATTAACACAGAATTATTCTTAGGTGTTTAAATTTTAATGGAAAAGTGATCCCTGTTAAGTATAAGAGTGGGAATAAGAGAGGAAGAGATGTACAATTTGGGACATGCTCAATCAGACTTGCCCCAAATGGTGGAGTTAGAATCGTGCCAGGGGATCCCAATTCAATCCCATCAAGGTGGCAAGTACCAATTCCATCTCACTAGTCCAAGTGATCAATTTCAGTTCACAATTGATCACACTGATAGGTCTAAGAGTCAAAGGGATCAAACAAAAAAGACTAATGTCTGCTAATACTAACTGATAGAATCAAAAAGGGAGAGAACGATCCATCATGGCAAGCGAGATACACAGCAGACTCATAGAATGGCAGATGTCCTAAGTAGCACTCTGGCCTCAGAATCAGCCCTTAAGGCATTCGGATCTGGCTGAAGAGCCCATGAGAGTATTTTAGGCATGGAAAGCCAAGACACCCTGGGAAAAAAAAGAAGACCTAAATGAAATATCTCTGTGAGTAAGATCCCAGTGGAAAGAATGGGCCATCAAAGAAGGAGGTACCTTTCTCTGAAGGGAGGAGAGAACTTCCACTTTGACTATGACCCTTAGCAAATCTTTTAAATAAACTGGTGCTCTGTAATTAGGCGCATATACATTTATAATTGTTACATCTTCCTGTTGAATTGATCTCTTAATCATTATATAGTGCCCCTCTTTGTCTCTCTTCGCAGTTTTTGTGGTAAAGTTTATTTTGTCTGATATTCAGATGGCTACGCCCGCTCTTTTTTCATTTGAGTTGGCATGGTGTATCTTTTTCCAGCCTTTCACTTTCAGTCTGCATGAATCTTTGTTGGAAAGATGTGTTTCTTGTAAGCAGCAAATAGATGAGTTTTGTTCCTTAACCCATTCAGCAAATCTGTGTCTTTTAACTGAACAGGTCAGGCCATTAATATTCAATGTGACTATTGATAAGTAGTAATTTTGCCCTGGCATTTGCCAAAGATATTTTGAAATATATGCTTTGAACTTCCTGTGATCTTTTGCTGTGAGGTTTCCTTCCTTTACCTTCTTTCATATTGATGACCATGTTTCTGTGTTTCTGTGTGTAACACATCTTTAAGCATCTTTTGCAGGGCTGGATGAGTGGCAACAAATTCTTTCAATTTCTGTTTGCTATGAAAGGTCTTTATTTCACCTTCATTCTCAAATGAGAGCTTTGCAGGATATAATATTCTGGGATAGCAGTTTTTCTCTCTTAGTACCTGGGCTATGTCTCACCATTGCCTCCTAGCCTGTAGTGTTTCTGATGAGAAGTCTGCTGTGAGTCTAATTGGAGATCCTCTGAGAGTAATCTGACGTTTCTCTCTTGCACATTTTAGAATCTTTTCTTTATGTTTCACTGTGGAGAGTTTAATTACAACGTGTCGTGGTGAGGATCTCTTTTGGTCATGTTTACTAGGGGTTCTATGAGCTTCCTGTACTAGGATGTCTCTGTCCTTCTCCAAACCCGGGAAGTTCTCTGCAAGTATCTCACTAAAAAGGCCTTCTAATCCTTTCTCCCTGTCCATGCCTTCAGGAACTCCTAGAACCCGAATGTTGGGTTTTTTAATAGTATCCTGTAGATTCCCGACAATATTTTTTAGATTTCTAATTTCCTCTTCTATTCTTTGGTTTGACTGTATCCTTTCCTGTGCTCTGTCTTCTAAGTCCGATATTCTCTTTTCTGCTTCACTGACTCTGTTTTTAAGGCTCTCTAATGTGTTTGGCATTTGATCTATTGAATTCTTCATTTCATTTTGACTTATCTTCACTATCACAGTTTCCTGTTGTACTAGCTGTTTCGTTTCATTTTGATTCCTCCTTAATATTTCATTTTCACGAGAGAGATTTTCTATCCTGTCGAGTAAGAATTTCTGTAGCTTAAGCATTTGTTTTTGAAAACTTCTAAATGTTCTTATCATAAATTTTTTGAAATCCATATCTTGCATTTCTTCCATTTCATCATCTTCATAATCTTCATAATCTTGGCTTGGGGTGTCCGGCATTTACAGTTCTTGAAGTCTGTCTTCAGCACTCACTGAGAATCAGGTAGTCTCCAAGTCAGTGACTTGTGTGATTCCCAGCAGTAGTTATTTCAGAACTCTTCTTTTTCAGGATCACTTCCAGCATTTGACCTAGGGTCAGGAGTAGTGTGTGTGTCTTTCTGCCTGCCAGAGGAAATGCCATATGAGGACATAGCAAGAAGTTGGCTGCCAACAACCCAGGAAGAGAGTCATCATCAGAAGCTGAATTTCCAACCCCTTATCATGGGCTTCCGGCCCCCAGAACTGTGAGAAAACAGATGCTGTAGTTTACGTCACTCAGACGATGGTATCTTATGTAGCAACCCAAGCAGACTAATGGAGTTGGTAAGATGTATGCTCTGCTCTGGGAGGCACTTTTAAATTGGCTTTGCCTTCTTATTACTGAGTTTTAGGTTTCTTTATACATTTTAGATATAAATTCTTGAGCAGACACGTGTTTTGAATCTATTTTCACCTATTCTGTGGCATACCTCAATTTTTACTTCTGATTGGTTTCTTTTCTAAGTGTCTACTTGTGTACCTATCACTCCCACTGGTCTAAAAGCTCTGAGAGGAAGGAGTGTAGTCTTTAACTGTAGACCTCTCCAGCAGCAAGAGCAGGTCTTAATACAAGTAAGACACACAATATACACTATTGGGTGGTTGGTTTAAATAAAGGATGAGTAGTGACGTGAAGGGACCAACACATTTAAAAGAGAAGTTGATGTCAGGCAAAGAGAGAGCAAAGTCAGCGCCAGCAGGCTGGGCTCTGTCCACTGGAGATGAACAGCAGTGTCACACAAGTGGGGGCTAGCATCACAGAGGTGGGAGCGGTCAGTACCCTACATGTAGCTCAGAGAGGGACCTCCCTCAGGGTTCGACAAGGGGGAGACCAGAGACAGGGGTGCTGTGGAGACTCAGCAAACTTCAACTCTCAGGTTAAGTCATTTTTTGCTCTGAATTCTAGAACCGTTATCTCCTGTATCACTGACCTCTGACCTCTGTTCTTGTTTCTCTGACAGATGACACCGCCCCATCATCCGACTGAACGACACCTTTGCTGGAGCGGTCCCACCAGTGAAGAAATCAGCAGATATATATTTTTCCAGCTCTAGGACCCCTTCTTGATTTTTCTCATTTGGTTTCTTTCTCTGCCTTCTCCACACACTTCAAGAGATCCTGAGCTGAACCACATCCCTTGGAAAGACATCATCATGAAGTATATCCTCCTCTGGGCTCTCTTGAACCTGCCTGGTGAGTGTCTGCACATTGGTCTCTTTCCTCCCCAAATAGAAATCCTGGGGAAAGCGTGGCAGATGTATCAAGACAGGAGACCCCGTCCCAGACTTCAAGTGTGGGGTTGGTTCTCTGCCCCTTGCCACTGTCACTGTCCCTGCCGTATTTGCTCCTGTGACACTGCCTACCTGACTCTCCTCAGCTTGATGGCATGTGCGGGCTTTTAGGAGAGCCGTGGACGCTGGGCGTTCCTTGTTTTATTTGCAGAGTGAATGGATGGTTTCCCTTCTTAGACTTCATTAGCATTTTATTATTCTTATAATGACATTTATATCATTCCAGCATACGTTGTTGTTGGGAGAAAGTATAAGAAAGTATAAGAACTTTTTTTAAAGATTTTTTATTTATTTATTTGAGAGGTAGAGTTACAGACAGTGAGAGGGAGAGACAGAGAGAAAGGTCTTCCATCCGCTGGTTCACTCCCCAAATGGCCACAACGGCCGGAGCTGCACCGACCTGAAGCCAGGAGCCAGAGCCTCTTCCAGGTCTCCCACATGGGCACAGGGGCCCAAGGACTTGGGCCATCTTCTACTGCTTTCCCAGGCCATCACAGAGAGCTGGATCAGAAGAGGAGCAGCTGAGATTAGAACCGGCACCATATGGAATGCCAGTGCTACAGGCGGAGAATTAACCCACTGCGCCACAGCACCAGCCCCGAGAAAGTATAAGACTATTTAAAACATTTTAAAGTTGTAAAATTTTTAAAAGATGAGTGGATTTAACACATTATTCATGCAATTGTGGAAGGTATTTAAGAAAGCTTGTGTTTCAATTTGAAGAATATTTATTGCCAAACTTAAAGGAGTAAACATCACTCTCTTCATGTTCTACGAAGACAGTGAAGTAAGTCCTTTTATAGATTTAGTTTTTAGATAAAAGTGCTAGAGAAGAGAGAGGGAATTAAATTAAAATATTTCCTTTGTTTTTTCTAGTGATTACTGAAAAATCTCACAATGTCTTGTCTCTGCCTCTCTTTCCAGTTTCCTTTGCCTTTAATCCAGATTATACAACTGGCTTCACTCCACCCTACTTGGTCTACTTGAAGTCTGACTACTTGCCCTGCACCGGGGTCCTGATCCACCCACTTTGGGTGCTCACAGCCGCACACTGCAACCTACCGTGAGTCTTAAGTCTTCAAAGCCACTCTGAGTTCACAGGTGGGACACACACTTGACCCTTGCCTGCAGCCATCTCCCAATTACAGGGGATTCAGAACACTTTTGGGGGGACACCCAGTGGCAGAGAAAACGTCTGTTGGGAGGGTGAAGAGCCATGACAATGAAGATGCCATCTACAAAGATTCCTCTGAACATCCATGTTGTTCCAGGAAGCTTCAGGTCATGTTGGGGCTTACAATCCCAGCAGACACGGAAGAAAGTGATGTGCAAGTCGCTGGCTATGAGAAGATGATCCACCACCCGTATTTCTCAGTTTCTTCTTCTGACTATGACCTCATGTTGATCAAGCTGAACAGAGTGATTGAACCCAGTGATTATGTGAACGTGGTCAACTTGCCCTACCGACTTGCCCCTGTGAATACCATGTGCACTGTCTCCACCTGGGCCTACAACATATGTGACGAATGTGAGTGCAATGTGTTGACTTTGAGATGATGTTCCCCAGAATTGAAACATGCTTCTATTGTCTTCTGAACTCATTTTTTTATTTTTATTTTTTATTTATTTATTTTTTTGACAGGCAGAGTGGACAGTGAGAGAGAGAGACAGAGAGAAAGGTCTTCCTTTTGCCGTTGGTTCACCCTCCAATGGCCGCCGCGGCCAGCGCGCTGCGGCTGGCGCACTGCGCTGATCGGATGGCAGGAGCCAGGTACTTATCCTGGTCTCCCATGGGGTGCAGGGCCCAAGGACTTGGGCCACCCTCCACTGCACTCCTGGGCCACAGCAGAGAGCTGGCCTGGAAGAGGGGCAATCGGGACAGAATCCGTCACCCCGACCGGGACTAGAACCTGGTGTGCTGGCGCTGCAAGGCAGAGGATTAGCCTAGTGAGCCGCGGCGCCGGCCCTGAACTCATTTTTAAAAAGATTTATTTACGTAAAGGCAGAGTTATAGAGTCTTCCATTTGCTGGTTCACTCCCCCAGCAGCTGCAATGGCCAGTGCTGTGCCAGGCCAAAGCCAGGAACCAGGAGTTTCATCCGGGTCTCCCATGTGGGTATGGAACCCAAACAGTTGGGCCATCTTCCACTGCTTTTCCAGGCACAGAGAGTGGAACAGTAAGGACTCGACCAGCACCCATTTGGGATGCCAGCGTCGCAAGCAGCAGCTTAATTCAGTACAGCACAAGACCAGCCCCAATCTTCTGTACTCTTAGCTTCTGAAATTCCACCCAGCAAGGCTGTCTTCTAATATCTTCAATCACCTTTCTCATCTGTTTTCTCTTTTCTTGTGCACCATTGAAAGAAACCTTCAAATGTGTTTCCCCATAGTAGCTTTCTGTCTTCTTTGATTCCATGGATGATGCAAGTGGTTCCAGTGGAAACAAGCCTTTTGTATTCTGTTACTAGTTTGCTGTGAGACACCAGGTTATTTTCAGCTGGGGCATCACTTTCCTTGACTCTCAAATGAGACACAATGCTATATCAGGTGTTTTCAAGCGATTTCAAGCAATAAATCAGCTAAAAGCCCATAAGAATCAAGAAATAAATATTAACTTACTACACCTAAGAAATACATACTATTGTGTTAAATCAGAATTGCCTTTTGAAAGATTGCAGCAGGGATACCTAGTTAAAAGCAGAGGAAAAATATTTTTGAAACAAACATTTTAAAACTCTATATGCTTGTGTGTATGTGTTTTTGAAGGAGAGAAAAAGAAAGTATGCTCCCATTCACTGATTCACTTCCCTAAATACCCACAGCAGCCAGGACTGAGCAAGAATGAAGCCAAACCTGGGAACGAGTCTGGGTCTCCCCCATGAGTGTTAGGGAGCAAACTACACAGCAACCACCTGCTGCACCCCGTGCCTGCATTAGAAGGAAGCTGGAGACAGGACAGAGCCAGGACTCAACCCAAGCACGCCCGCAGGGGACATGGGCATGCCAAGCCGCGTCTGAACTGCCAAGCCAAACCCCAAGAGTTTTGAGTCAACACACTCCACATTATTTATTTATTCAGAAAACAGACAACTGGGCACTTGTTTGTGTCCTGACTGCTCTGCGTCTGATCCAACTTCCTGCTATTGCATATGGCAGGCAGCAGAAGGTGGCCCAGGCAGTTGGGCCCCTGTCACCCATGTGAGAGACCCAGATGTCGTTCTAGGCTCCTGACTTCAACCGGATCCAGTCCAGGACATTTAGAGAGGGAACCAGAAGATGGATGCTTTCTCTCTGAGTGTCTCTCCTTCTTTCTCTGTCATTTTGTCTTTTAAATACAAATAAATAAATCTTAAAACTGACAAGAGATTACCATTATCATTGCTAGTAAAGTTTTCTATATATAATTTGAAAATATTTAACAAGATACTAAGCTTTCTCCTATGTCTCTAATTGCAAATCTCATGAACAGACTTTGAGCAACATAAGATAGCTTTGCTTTCTAAGTCCCTGTCTGCCTGCCACCTCATCTCAAAGTGCTTATACAATCCCTAATTAACTGCCTGTAGCTGTCAATTGTTAATAGTGAGTATTAGGGGAGAGAAGTTGATTAGCTATCACCAAGATAGAATAATGATGTGTTCCTTATGAAGATTTATGAGTGCAACTTTATTCATGAGTAAGTTTATTTGAGTATGCAAGTGTCATTCATCACACAACTGACACCATTGTATGGAAAAGAGACTGATTTTTCATCAGCCTTTTAGATCCATCCCTCTCTACTTTCTATAGCAGCCAGGGCAGTTCTACACTTTGCCAATTTTTTGTTAACTACTATTTAGCTAAGGCTTCAGAACTTGGGGGGTACATTTTCTTTATTACATCAAGAAGTAGAAATTATTTGTCCTTTGTAGGTCATTTAATTTTTTTTGCTTTGTTTTGTTTTTCTACTTAGCAATGTTTGGTTCCTCTGGGTTATGCCACTTGAGTCAAAAAGAGATGTGGCTATAAAAAAATCACAACTTATTTTGATCTGGTTCAGTTAAATAAACATTTCCTAAAGAACTACTGCCTAAAGAAATGTAGAATTATGAAATTATTTCTGGATTAGAAAATAAATATATAAATATATATTTATATATAAATAATATATAAAATATATTATTTAATATATTTTGTAAATAATATATAATTATATATAATTATATTTATATATAAATAATATATATTTTATACATTATATAATGTATATTTATATAAATAAATAAAATATAAATAAATGAATAATAATATGTTAAAATAAACACACACCTTCAGTAGAGAAAACAAAATGACACAACATTATTGATGCAACTTGGTTCTTGTTTTCTCCATTTTCTTTCAGAATGGAATATCTGCCATTTGAAACTTTTCATGGATATACACAGTTCACAGTATTTTTAGACCATACCAAGGAAAGAATTTAAATTAGGAATCAGATACTCAACTTTTTAAAAAAGTTTTATTTTATTTATTGATTTGAAAGGCAGAGAGGCACACAGAGAGAAAGAAGGAGAAAGAAGTCCACTCCACAATGCCTACGACAGGAAGGCTGGGCCAGGCTGGAACCAGGAGCCAGGAACTGAATCCAGGTCTCTCATGGAGGCAGCAGGTTCTAAGTCCTTGAACTACCATCTGCTGCCTCTCCTGGTTTTCATCAGCAGGAAGCTGGAGTCAGGAGTGGATTCAACCCCAGGCACTCTGATATGGGATGAAAGTGTCCCAAGTGACAGTTTAACTACTGTGCCAAATGCCTGCCCCAGTACACTCAATTTTAAATTGTAGTTTTTTGCCACTTACTAGTTACACAGTCTTAAGAAAATTGATTTTTGAGATTTTTTAAATGAATACTTTTATTTTTGACCTAAGAAATGAAAAGCTAAGTTGGATATCTCCAATTTCCTTCAAACTCTGACTTCCATGTCAAAGGAAAGTCTTTAAATGTGTAAATGACTGGAAAAAATTGAAGCAATTTGTTTCATGTTCTTTCAGGAACGTCTCATGTTTACATATAACTTCAACAACTTTAATGACTTTCGTAAGGAAACGGACACTGGTATCCTAAGAAATTGCTAATCTGATAACCTCCAGTGTCCTGCGTGTCCTAACTGCCAGTTCTGATCTTTCTCTGTGTTTGGTCTCTTTTCCTTTCTGACAAAAGAAGGAAAACAAGGAGACAGGGAAGATTTGTTCCCTAAGAGAATTCTTAAAGAAGGTCAATTTCTCTTTTTCTTATAGCCAAGGAGCCTGACTCGCTGCAGAACGTGAACGTCTCGGTTATCTCCAAATCGGAGTGTCGCGATGCCTATAAGTCTCACAAGATCACGGAAGGCATGTTTTGTGTGGGCATTGTGCCAGGAAGGAGGCTGCCCTGCAAGGTAACAGCCCCGTTCCTTGATGTCCTCCTTTTGTTCCTCCTACCTTTTGCCAGAAAGGTGATCTACTTTCCAATTTCCTGGCAGGAAGTCTCAGCTGCCCCCGCAGTCTGCAATGGGGTACTTCATGGAATCCTGACTTACGCAGATGGATGTATTTTGAGAGCTGATGTTGGCATCTATACCAACATCTTTCACTACATGACCTGGATTAGGAACACAATCCACAGCAACTGAGCTCCCAAGCAGGAATTCTGGGCCCTGCAGCACCCTGTCATGGCCAGCCTAGAATTCAACTTGGTGGGTGCCAACTTGAATTAAACTAAATTGGACCATGAGTGTCTGTCTCACTTCTGTTGAAGAGAATGCTGATTGAGCATGGCTCATTACATTCCTTTGTAAATGAAGATGAGAAACAAAACTCCTTGGACGTGGCATTTTATGACGTGAGGATTTTATTCTAACAAATTGACAACTGGCATATGGTGGGGACAGGGGGAGGGAAGCCCACTCCATAGCTGTTCTGGCTGCCAAACCTCCTATTATTTGCACTAAATTAGACAACATGTGTTTTGGGTGACTTAAATGCATGTGTTTGGAAAAGGAAGTCTGCCAAGGAGTGACCCACACAGAAGCACAGATCGGGGAAAGGATTTAAGGGTGGAGACTGTGGGAGGTATTGCACTTGGTATTTCCTTGTCCAGGCAACTCTCAACGGGTATAGATAGATTCTTGTCACTCATTTTGCAGGATTCTGGATGCCAGCTTGAGACATGATCAGTTAATAACTGAGGAGCCTATGACATAGCGGACAAAAACAGGGCGTTGAGGACAGACTCCCATAACACACGTTTGCTCTGTGTATTCACACTTGTAATCCAGCTGCCCCAGGATTCCACCCTCCGGATTGTCGTTGTAGCATTTTTCTTCCTTCCTTCCTCCTAGTTTCACCTTACTTCTGCAACTTCAGTCCCCACCAGAGAATTTTAGCTGACGCTTTTAAAAGAGGAGTTTCTTTTGGGTGAGGGCTAAACATAGAGAAACAAAGGATTTCAGGTGGTGGCTGCTGCCCATGGAGTGCAGGAGACGTTCAGCCCAGTGCAGGGAGAAGGGACGTCCTCAAAAGAAGCACGTGCAAAGCCTCAGTAAATTCTGTTCTCACAAGGGCTCTGCAATCACCAGACGAGTCAACCCTAACCCACAGTGCTGGTATTTTGTGTTGGAAAGATTCAGTGTAATTGTGAGATCTACGACTTGCTTATTATGTTAACTGAAATTTTAGTTATGGGAGAGATGAAGAGCATTAAGTAGGGCATCTCGCCTTTGAAGACTTTTCCTTGACTGAGTTTGTACTGGTTTCAGAAAGACCATATTGATATCATGTAAGGCCAGCTAATTTTGGTGATAAACTTAAAGCATCGGCACCACCCACGGGCCTCACTGCCAGCACCGGAGGTGACTTCCTTGGCTGCAAACACGTGCATTTTGTGTGTAATAATAAGACATTTTGGTAGTTTGAGAACGCCAGGACAGTGATGACGCCAGAACAAAGCAAGTCCCAGTCCAGAATGTGTCTTTTCATATTTCTTTTTTTTCTTTTTTCTTTTTTTTTTTTTTTTTTGACAGGCAGAGTGGACAGTGAGAGAGAGAGACAGAGAGAAAGGTCTTCCTTTGCCGTTGGTTCACCCTCCAATGGCCGCCGCGGCCAGCGCGCTGCAGCTGGTGCACCATGCTGATCCGATGGCAGGAGCCAGGAGCCAGGTGCTTTTCTTGGTCTCCCATGGGGTGCAGGGCCCAAGCACCTGGGCCATCCTCCACTGCACTCCCTGGCCACAGCAGAGAGCTGGCCTGGAAGAGGGGCAACCGGGACAGAATCCAGCGCCCCGACCGGGACTAGAACCCGGTGTGCCGGCGCCGCTAGGCAGAGGATTAGCCTAGTGAGCCGCGGCGCCGGCCCGTGTCTTTTCATATTTCAAAGATACTTCCTCTGTGATGGAAGGGGACTGTCTATTACCACCTGGCTGATGGGACACCTTGAAGACTGTAATATATCCATTCTATATTGAGCTGAGTTTGGGCATTCACACTGGCAAATTGGGTTTACAACAGTGGCAGTAGTCAGGTTAGATGTACAGTAAGCCTGAGCTATCCAGGACAGGTATACCCATATTTGACCCCATTATTCACTTTGTTTATGAAGCCATCAGACAAACATTCAGAAAGATGAAGGAAGACTTCAGACCAAATCATCCTGTCCATGTGATTTTTAAACTCTTCTGAAGAAGAGCATTTTAGTGAGAATTCTCATGGAGAACAATTATTCTCCTACTCTAGCCTCGCCCTGCAAAAATCTCATTGCGTTAGGTGATACTTCTCCCCAAGAGTTGATTCTCCACCCTCCCATCTTGTTCCTTCTCAGTGCCGATCAGAGCAGAGCAGCACACACTTTCAAGAAAGCCATATGAATTGTTAACCTCAGGAAAGAGAACAATCAGATATCCTGACTGAACTGTCTCCTAAGAGTTCTCTTAGATTCCCTCAGGGCACCTTTTGCTATCTCAGTAGTACACTTGTCATTGGTACAAATAGATCAAACAAAGCCCTGCAAAAATTCAAAGCTCAGCCTTGCAAATGCTAGGGAAATGCAAATCCAAATCACCTCACCTCACTCCTGCTGTATTAGCTATTAAGGAAAAGAAGAAAGATAACAAGCATTGGCAAGAATGTGAAGAAAAGAAAGCACTTGTGCACTGTTAGCAGGCATATAAAACATTTTCAATTATGGAAAACAGTGTAGAGGTTCATAAAAAACTTAAAACAACCACATAACCCAGAATTCCCACTTATAGGTAAATAGCCAAAAAAATGAAATTAGCGTCTCAAACAGATGACTGCATCCTGATATTCATTGCAGCATCGTTCCCCATAGCCAAGATATGGACACGATCTAAATTTCCATCACACATATACACACATATGAGTGCACTGGAACATTATTCAGCTGTAGAAAGGAAGGTATTGCTGCCATTTGCAACAATATAAGACAAACAGCATGGTCTATCTCAGTGATATATTGAACCTAAAACTGTCAAATTCTTAGAAGCAGGAGAAGAGATTAGAATAGTGGTTGCCATAGGTTCAAGGAGGGGGAGATGAGGAGATGTTAATGAATACAAAATTTGAGTTATGCAAGATTAATAAGCTCTAAGTATCTAATGTACAACACAGTGGCTACCATGAAGACTACTGTATTGTGTATTATAAATCGGGTGGATGTAAAGATTTCCCACCAATAAACATAAAAAGATGAGGTGATGGATACATTAGTTAGCTTGAGTGTGATGGTCATTCCACAGTGTATACATACATACATATACATATATAATGAAATAATACATTTTAAAGTTGTACATTTTTTATTTTTCAATGTACTTTAGTAATGTATGAAACAGGAGACTCACACACCAGATCAGTATTTCTTTCCAAAGGATGAGGAGATGACAAAACCCACCAGGTTGTGACTGTTTGGGGCCCTGCACTGTGCCACCACCAGGGCGTCAGGTAAGCAGTGACAGGAAGGCACACTTTGTGGTCCGGGGCAGCAGAATTCCTCTGGTAGGTCTCCAGGGAGTGATGGAAAGGCGTGTTCAGAGCTCTGGTGCCTCCAGGGCTCCAGCCACGGAGAGGCTGGCTGTGGGTGTTCACAAGCGGTCAGCAGGGGCCCAGGGCCTGCGACCTGCCATCTCCTCTGATCTTGGCACCTCTGACTCTGGCTCTCCTGGCGATGATATTTGCAACCAGAGCTGCCCTTCCTGGAGGAAGAGGGAACACAAAGGTATGCACGTGTCTGCAGGGCTCTGTGCCAGGCTCAGGCCTCCCCATCGTGTCCTCTGGAGCTTGGAGGAGAGGGGAGATGGAGAGAGGAAAGAGGAGTATACCCTGGAAGTGTGCAGGAAGAGCTGCCATCCTGCTGGCTTCTTCCCCTCAAACCCAGCAGCCGCGATCCCCTGGGCGCTCCAGGGAAGGAAATGAGCGGCAGAAGCAGCTAAGTCTAGGGACATTTCTGGTCTCTGCTAAACTTGTTGGCAAACTGACACAGGAGGCCCCATGATCTGTAACAAGCAGCTCAAAGTTTGATATTCAGAATTTAGAGTCATGGTGAAAACAAAGCAGAACTATGAAGAGATTAATCCCAAATTCTCCATTTCCCATACAAGGTGCATTCTAGGAAGAAACTCCGAGTTCCATGTTTCAAGGAACGGCCGTCTTTCTCACCAGCACACTGTATGTTAGGAAAGATCAGGAATATGGACGAGGGAGGACAAGGTCTGGGCATCCCTCCCTGAGCCAAACCAGCATCACAGGCTCTCCTCTCTGGAGCTCTTGTGTGGGAAAACAGAGCCAGGGATGACATACGGGGTGACAAGGAAAGGAAGGGGAGAATAAGGAAGCCGCAGCCCTGACAGCCTGGTGGGACCCCAACCCGTCCACTGCACAGAGCCTGGAGAACCATGGGCAGACGGCGCCCCCTGATGGCAAAATCCCTTCCCACACAGCAAGCGCTGAGGAAACAGCCCTGCAGCTTCTCTGCCCTCCTCCCTGCGCCGCCAGCAGAGCCAGAGGCGTCCTTGAGGAGCTCCTGTCACCAGGACTCTGCTTCCCAGCTGACGCTCACTTGGAGTATTGGGCTTTCACCACGGCAGCCAAGCGCCGCAGGCAACTACCTTAAAACAGAGAGAAGGCTCACCGTTTGGTGGGTTGGAATCCAAGGCTGCGTGGCCTCAATGGCTTGGCATCTGGTGAGGCCGGCGGATAGCAGTGGGGGCATGCGTGCAGAGGACCTGTCCCACAATGAGCTAGGAAGCAGAAAGAGAGCATGGCCGTGCCTAACGCCAGCCTTTATCACAACCCCCTCCCAAGAACTAGCTTCTGAGGGCACAAGGCCCCGCGACCTAAGGGTGCTCCACGAGGCCCAACCCCTAAACACTGCAACTGGATTGTTTCCGCCTTCTTAGTGTCATGAACATGACTTTAGGGTTTAAATAGCTTCATGAACTTGGAGGCCAATTCATATTCCAGCTATAGCACTTGGTATGCACCTTGCGGGACAGAGACGCTCCAGCCGGAAGCAGACTGGCTTAGCTGCAATAGCTCTTCCTGTCTCCCACCTTTGCAGGGCTTGGGATCCTGTGCCTCATTCTCTTGCCCTTGTTTCTCTCTCTCCCTCTTCCTCTCCCTCTCTCTCCCCCTCCCGCTCCCCGTCCTCCTCTCCCTCTCTCTCTCCTTCCCATTAGTTCCCACCAATTTGCCCTGGGGGCGGAGTCTCCTAGGTCTGCCCCTGTCTGTGGGTGGCCTCATTCCATGCACAGACTCAGTTCTGACTCACAGCTTTCCAGCTCAGTGTGGGGAAAGCACTCTGTGGTCCTTCCTGAGTTTTTCGCTTTAAAAGATGAGCTCGAGACGGAGGTGCAAGAAGTTGAAGTGGGGTAAGTAGTGAGAATGGGGTCTCACAGGGAAGATGGCTGTGAATTCCAGGGCTGTGAGTGCAGTGTTGAGAGATCCAGCCCTCCCCTTTTCTGACCTCCCAGCATTTCCACAATCCTTCTCTGAGGACTGGTACTGGCCTCAGTGTACAACATGCATCTTAGAGATGCATCCCACGGAGGGCAACACCGGGCCAGTTGATCATTTGTCCTATCCCACTGCATTATTCTAAAGACTTCCCCTGTTGTATTGTCCAGCCCACTGAGCTGGATGGAGGTGCTTTCTGCATTTTATAGACACAGAACTAGATCAGGGCAGAAGAGAGACTTACCCAAAGCTCGCAGGTGACAGTGCCAAGATCCGTACTCAAGTCCCCCAGAACTGGAGTCAAAGTGCTATGCTATTCGGGCAGAGAATGTTTCACGAACGGTAAAGGGAGAAGTCATCTCTTGTGGTTAGGAGGCCGGAAGGCAGACTACGTGGAGAAGAAGTAGGCTTAGGAGGCCTGCAAGCCGAGGAGGAGGGCTTGGCGTCTATGTATGTGGTTTTTACTCAGATACTCAAGGAAGCTTTCTCGTTGTGTCTTTGCTGCAGGTGCAGAAGAGAGTTCTGCCCTGGGTCACGTTGGCCACACGCAGCGTCAGCTCCATGTCACTGACCCGTGTAGCCAGGTAATCTGCTCCAGGACGGGATACGGCCTCCTCATCCCCAGGACTACGCAGAGAGGCCAGACTCTGTAGCTGCCCCTGGAGATCCTGCTGGTACCAGCTCATCCAGGGGTACTGGGCATCCCTCAGGATGCAGTGCAGGGTCCTGGACTGTCCACGGGGCACGAGGACCCACCGGGGCCTTTGCTCCACCAGGCTTGCAGCGGCATCTGAAATACACAGCAGGGCCAGTCGAAGGTCGATGGAGTGGACATCCTCGGGAGAAATAAGTGAGTTAAGTCCTCCAGAGGGAGACCCGAGACTGATGCTGACAGGAGACTGCTGAGAGCAGAAGGCAGGGTGAGGGGTAATGCCTGGGGTGGCTGTGGCAGGGCAGGGGTTAGGGAGCCACTGCCCATGGTACCCCGCGACTGGGCCCCTCTCCCCTCCTGAGCTTGCCGTCTGACCTGAATCCGCAGCAGCCACAAGCAGCCAGCCACACAGAACGGGAAGCTGCACCATTCTGTGACCCCCAGTCTCTCTCCAGCAGGACTGTGGGACGAGGCCAGCCAAGTGAGAGAACAGGAGCCCGCCTGGGCTCTGGTGATCAGTGGCTGACAGTCAGAAGCTCCTCGGGGCGGGACTTTATCAGGAAACCCAGCATCCTGTTTATCTTCTTGCTGACGCTCTGACATCAAACCCAAGAGTGTGCTCCCACCTCCGGAGCACCAAGCTGTACATGCCTACACCTGCTGCATGCAGTGAGGACGCAGTGAAGGGACTGGGCCCTGCACCCTCCCAACAGTGTTCCGATAGTCCCAGAACAGAGGTCCCAACCTGCGCCTCGACCCTTCACCAGGGATTCAAACGTCTCAGTGCAAGCCACTGATGGTTGTGGCGCTGGACAGACATCTCCCACCGACATGCACCACAGCACGCAGAGGTCACTGCAGGGCCACACTGGGCATCCACGACGGGTACGCATGTCCAGTCCCCTGTGTTGGATTCTGGGAGTGCAATCACGTGGTGAAATACGAGAACAGGGAAGAGGTTCCCCTCCCCTCCATTTTCTCACAGCATTTATGTGGGAACACTTGTAATTGTGAGTTCTCCCCTGTCCCTTTGAAATGTGTGTAAATATTTTTAAAAGTGAAATCAGCCTCCTGCTGGCTTTAAGATGTATGCTTCCAGGAGCGGCTGAACCATTTCTTTGAAATGTGATCATCTGGGTGCACAGTGCCCCTACATCCCAGATTCTAAGATAGGAGAGCCTAACTTAACTCAGGAGCTTAACGGAATTGAAAGTGGACATTTTACACCAAGCTGCCCAACTATCTCCTGTGATAAAGATATGGCAAGTTTAGTTTTCTTTGGGTAAAGCCCATTAGCAAACACCAATGGCCATGACAATAAGTGAACCTAGGACGCTTAGCTTAATCCTCCGGTGAGATTGGGATCAGAGTGTCTCCAACACTCCGGTTATCTCCTTGTGCTTCTCAAGGTCACTGCATCCCCGGGCCGGCCTGCTCTGGCCTTGGCTGTGCTCCCTTCCTGGGCCAAGGTAAGCCTCTTGCTTCCAGGTGGCTGTCTAGCTCCCGACTTTCTCTGCCAGGCCCAGGGTTCAGGCTTGTGGCTGCCTCTGTGGGGCATTTGCTTTCTCTCCCCGATGCACCCCAATTGCTATTCAAATGCTCTCAGTAGCAGCAACCAACCTGGGCTGGGTCGTTAGCAGCTTTAACGAGCCCAACAGGCAGCACCATAACATGCATGCACTCAACATGTGCACTGTAGGTAGAAAACCCAGCATCTATGCACCCTGGCTTGAGCTGAATTCCTGTGCGGACATGCAAGGGCCAGTGTCTCCGGGGAGACTCTCAAGACACGTGTCCTATCCGTTGTGTAGTGGAGACCAGGATCCTTGGGTTAGAGGAAGTCAGCTGTGACAGTCACTGGGCAAGAACCACTCTGAACTTAGAGTCAGAACTTGTTGTCTTTCCCCAAGAAGCAGCCAGCAAATGACAGCAACTCCTCCCCCAGGAGGAGCCACGCAGAGGCAGGCAGCCACCTGGTGTCTGTGGCCTAAAAGAACAAAGGAACGAGTGCTGGCCTGGCACTTGTGTTGTTGTGTTAACTCTGCCTCCGACTCGGTGGCTGATGACACACCACTCACATTGCCCCACACGGCCCCCATTTCTCACTTAAAAATTAAGGGGATTGAAAGTGAAGTGCCCCTAAAGTCCCTTTCTTCTATGGTGTCCCTATAGTCCTTTATGCTTTTACTGTTTCCCTAGCACCAATGTGCTTGCAAGCAGAGAAATCGGGGTACCCCTCTGGTGCAGTCTCTCAAATGTGATCTCCCTGAAGGCAACTCCAAGCAGGAAATGCACACAGCACCCCAAAAGCAAAGTGATGCTTCTTCCTGACTTCCCCCCCTCTTCTGCTTAGACTCCCCAGACCCTCCCCACTGAGGTGAGAACATCGATGCTGATCCAGACCTGCCTGCCTTGAAGGCTGATTATGGCCCCTTCACTTGTTCGTGTCCTTCCAGGGCTTAATCACAAAAAACTCCTCCAGGAGACGAAATCACAGCCTTCCCCAAAGCTCCTCCCAATAACTTCTCTCCTTCCTACACAGCCCTGGAGGCTGGAAGTCTGGGTCTGCACACGGTCCTGTCTCCCAGCTAGAGCCTCAGGTCTACACAGAGATAAAATAGGAAATGCCCAGGAAACTGGGTGCCGGCCTTTGCTGGAGGGAGATTTTCAGTAATGACACCCAAGGATGGTCGTGGGGGACAGGAAGGGAGGCGGGGAGGTACAGAGTTATAGAGGAAGGGAAAGAGATGCAGGGAGAAACTGAAAATAAAAATCTCAGTTTTGTAGCTTCTGTTGGCCGGACCCTTGCATGGAGTTGGAGCAGAAAACCTGAATCGTTTCTTCCTGAGAACTGCATGCCAGGACCCAGCTCCAGAGTGAAAGGAATGCGCCCTGGACCCTCCCTGGGCAGCCCTTGCCTCCTGGGTTATGTAAGTGGCACCACTCTGAGCCCGGGATAATCAGATCAGAGGAGCCCCAGCCTGTCCCTCCCTGTGGCATGGTGCCTGCTGTGGGCAGGGGCACATATAAGCCCAGAGCTCTCGAGGGCTCGTCGGCAGAACAGACGCTCCAGGCCCCAGGAGCCATGGCCTGTGCTTTGCTGCTCAGGCTTTCCCTGCTTCTGGCCCTGACTGCCCCCTCCCCCGGCAAACACCTTGGCCCCAAGTCCCGCTTGCGTTATTCCAGGTTCCTGGGTCCGTCCAATGTCATTCTCCTGCGCTGGGACTTTGACCTTGAGGCCGAGATCATCACTTTTGAGCTCCAGGTCCAGACAGCTGGCTGGGTGGGCTTAGGCGTCATGAATCGCTACACCTTCGTGGGCAGTGACCTTGTGGTTGGAGGAGTCTTGCCTGATGGCAACGTCTATTTCTCGGTAAGTCTGAGGGTGACGTCCTCAGGGGTGTGGGCCGCTGTTGGGTTGAGGGTGGCTTTTGTCCATAAAGGATCTGTATTCTCCAAACATATCCAAGTGCACTCCCAGAACTCTGGCTGGCTGCTGATTTCTCCTTACAGAAATGGCCCATTGTAAAATTTGCTACCAAAGCTGTCCAGGGTGCATGTCTCCAAGGCTGCTAGGAGGTCATTAGACTGTGAGAGCCAGGCTTGCACTACTTAGTTGCTGATTGCCCACTAAACGCAGGTCACTGGGGAAAACTAAGAGCTGTTTGAGCCATCTGTGTCTTCAGTTTCCTTCATATGCAATCAGGCGGAATAACAGTAGCAGCGGTGGCAGTGACAATGACTTTAAATCGTTACATGCTTTTGATTAACTCAGAGTTGCTCCAAATTCTTTGCATGCTAAACCCCATAGGATCACTATAAGATGGATTATTATATCTCCACTTTAATATAAGAAATAGCTCACTCATCTCCCAATCTAACCCACACTGAACCATTAATCACTCTCTGAACAGCACTTATATAGGGAAGTGTCAATTATCAGTACAAAGTAGCATGCTAAGAGCCTCACGGGAGAGGATGAATGGCAAAAATGGCTCAGAAAAGAAGTGAGATTCCAACAACTAAGGACACTGAAGTTTAGGGTTTTCAGAGGGGAGATTTGAAACAGGTGAGGTGAAGGTAGGTCAGGTGCTGAAGCTCCACCAACAGGGATCATCCCTCTTCCTGAGGACACACCCGCTGATGCCATGCTCTGCCCAGGAGGAAGTGACCTAATACAGTGGACTGACGTTCTGCTGCTTTAGTATCCTGGGGGAGGGAAAGGGACAGCCAATTCCTCCAAGACTGACCATCTGGGCTTCCTGGCCCTTACTCCTTGACTTCTACTGGACCCAAAGGGACAGCCAATTCCACCTAGACTGACCATTTGGGCTTCCTGGCCCTTACTCCTTGACTTCTACTGGACCCAAAGGGACAGCCAATTCCACCTAGACTGACCATCTGGGCTTCCTGGCCCTTACTCCTTGACTTCTACTGGACCCAAAGGGACAGCCAATTCCACCTAGACTGACCATCTGGGCTTCCTGGCCCTTACTCCTTGACTTCTACTGGACCCAAAGGGACAGCCAATTCCACCTAGACTGACCTTTTGGGCTTCCTGGCCCTTACTCCTTGACTTCTACTGGACCCAAAGGGACAGCCAATTCCACCTAGACTGACCATCTGGGCTTCCTTCTTACTCCTTGACTTCTACTGGACCCAAAGGGACAGCCAATTCCACCTAGACTGACCATCTGGGCTTCCTGGCCCTTACTCCTTGACTTTTGCTGCATCCCAGGATCAGCACCTGGTGGATGAAGACACCCTGGAGGAAGACGGGAGCCAGGATGCTGAGCTGCAGGGACTAACAGAAGATGGAATCTATACCACCATGCGCTTCTCCAGGCCCTTCCGCTCCTGTGACCCTCATGACCAAGACATTATGGTAAAATAAGGAAGGTCCAAAATCATTCTGTCACAGCAGTTTTTCCTTCTTGGGGAGGCGCACTTACTCCCATCAGGCACCAGTGCACCGTGCCTCAGACCCTTAGCCCACCCAGCTTTCCCAGAGTCTGCCTGAGACTTCCACCTCTGGTGACCCACAAGTCCTCTGCAGGAGGACCTCTCACCAATTCCGCGCTCACCCCACCCTCTCCAACACTCCCATCCTGAAGAATACCAGGAGTGAGTGAGTGGCTTGCACAGACCACTGAGCACAGGTGCAAAGCGATGTTCCTGGGTCCCAGCGCCTCAATGCTCCTGTGCCTCAGGGTGACACCGTAAGGGTACTGGCTGCCTATGGTCTGAACGACACTGTGGAACTGGATCGGGAGCGCACTTTTGTCAAGTCCATCTTCCTGCTACAAATAGTCCACCCTGATGACCTGGAAGTCCCCGAGGACACCATCATTCACGACTTGGAGATCACTGATGTAAGATTCCTCCGCCTCACCCAGCCACCCCACTCCCTACCCCTGTCCCCTCACAAGCCAAACCCTCCTCTTCCACCTGCTGGTGAGCATGTACCTTGGCTTGAGGTTACTCTGATTCTCCTCTTGTCTTGTGAGGTCTGCCAAGCTGGTCTAGCATGAATCCCCTTTCCTGGCTTGTCCCTTCCTGCTTCTTGGAGAGCCTCACTCTCATCCCATTGAGTCTGGTCCTCCCTATCCCAGTTCCTCATTCCAGAAGATGACACCACATATGCCTGCACCTTTCTTCCTCTCCCAATTGTCAGCAAGAAGCATCACATCTACAAGGTACAGTGAACCATACGGGGTGGGGGGTCAAGGAGGAGGGAGATGCTTGAACCGAGCAGTGGGTACGGCTGACCATAAAGGAATCATGTATGGAGAATGGCTGGCAGGAAGCAATAGGGAAGTAGCTGGGAGATCGGGGGGAGGAAGGGCTCGGGGGAGGCGGTAGTTACAGAATTTCTGGAACAGGGAAGTAGAACTTGAAGTGCTGTTATTTATTTGCCTGAGAGGCAGAGACATAGAGAAAGAAATGGAGACAGAGATATCATTCAAATACTTGTTCACTCTCCAAATGTCTGCACCAATAGGCACTGGGGCCAGGCTGAAGCCAGAAACTGCAAACTCCATCCAGGTCTCCAACATGGGTGGCAGGGACCCAAGTTCTTTTTTATTATTATTATTATTTTATTTTTTATTTTTTTGACAGGCAGAGTGGACAGTGAGAGAGAGACAGAGAGAAAGGTCTTCCTTTTGCTGTTGGTTCAGCTGCGGCCAGCGCACCGTGCTGATCCAATGGCAAGGAGCCAGGTGCTTATCCTGGTCTCCCATGGGGTGCAGGGCCCAAGGACTTGGGCTGTCCTCCACTGCACTCCCTGGCCACAGCAGAGAGCTGGCCTGGAAGAGGGGCAACCGGGACAGAATCCAGCGCCCCAACCAGGACTAGAACCCAGTGTGCCGGTGCTGCAGGCGGAGGATTAGCCTAGTGAGCCGCGGCGCCGACCTAGGGACCCAAGTTCTTGAGCCATCAGCTGTTGCCTCCCAGGGAGCACATCATCAGGAAGCTGGAATTGGTACTGCAGCTGGGATTCAGATCTAGCACTCCCATACGGGATACAGGTATCCCAAGCAGCATCGTGACTTCTGTGCCAAATGACCACCTCATAGCAGTATTTTATTCAAACCTCACAATGCAGCAGAAGTTTTAATAAAAGTTGTTGATCAGTAACTGTTTGTAAGAAACAGAAGTTAAGTCAGAATTGAGCTCTCTTGGCTCAGGAGAAGGTAAAGGCAGGGAGAGACTGCAGTCAAGGGCTGTCAGAAAGTCAGCAAAGCCTGTCTAGAGTGGACTGAAACCGATCACCTAACTCCACAACTGAGTGATTTGTTTGATCAAATAAACAAAAAGATAACATTACAATAAGTGGCAAATGTGTGGGAGCCATTTTTTCTTTATGAAGAATGCAAAGATGAAGGCTACCCTGCTTAGACACAGTGACTGGTCACCCAGGAAGACAGTCGGGAATCCAGGAGCGTCCCCAGAGGGAGTCCAGGAGCTGTGCCCCCAGGGAACAGGTTTAAAGGAGCAGGTGTTGAAAGAGTCAAAGCTGGGGACAACAATAATCCAGGAAGAAAACGGAGACAAAAATGAAAGAGACGGAAACAGAGAGAGGTGGGAAATGAGCCTAGTTTTATCTGGGAATATATTGCACTTGGAAAGTAGAATTTGACAAGGAGGTCTTGACCACACTCTACCCTCCTTTCTCTGCCCAGTTTGAGCCCAAGCTGGCACCCCACAATGAGACAATGGTGCATCACATCCTGCTGTATGCCTGTGGCAATGCCAGTGTGCTCCCCACCGGCATCAGCGACTGCTACGGGGCAGATCCTGCCTTCTCCCTCTGCTCACAAGTCATCGCCGGCTGGGCTGTTGGAGGCACCGTGAGTCCTGCGATAGGAAAGTGCATGGTGAAGGGAATACACGTGACTGGGTAACAGGGATTTCTGGGCTTGTGGGAGCCTGGAGTAGAGGACAGGTGCACAATGAGACCTAGGAGGAGGCCTGGACCTCTCATGCTGCCAAATCCCCCTCCCTCCACCAGAGTTACCAGTTTCCAGATGATGTGGGCATCTCTATTGGGACCCCCTTGGACCCTCAGTGGATCCGGCTGGAGATTCACTACAGCAATTTTCACAACCTTCCTGGTGAGCCTGCAGAGGACCATGGCAGGGCAGCTGTTGGGCTGGCGGCTTCCTTCAGTAGTTAAGGTCATGTTGTGAGACCATGCTGGCTGCTGGTGCTCACAGCCCCACCCAGGCCTTTCCAAGCCTCTGTCTGCATTGCGAGCCACTCCCTTGTCTTCTGACATTGCTACTTTCTGCACCAGGTTTGTACGACTCCTCGGGGATCCGCGTGTACTACACTTCTCAGTTGCGCAAATACGACATGGGGGTCCTCCAGCTGGGCTTCTTCACCTTCCCCATCCACTTCATACCCCCAGGAGCCGAGTCATTCATGTCCTATGGGCTGTGCAAAACAGAGAAGTTTGAAGAGGTGAGGCTGGAAGTACACCCTTCCTGAAGGTCCGTGTTCCCTATCGCAGGTCCAGGTTAACCCTGAAGCCCACACAACCTGAGCCCCGGACTTTGAGAATAATTAAAATCTGGAGCTCAGGAAAATTCCCCAGCATGGGTCATGCAGGGAAGAAAATGAGTTAGGACTCTGTGGGCAAGAGGACAGAGGTAGGGAATAGTGCCAGGAGAGTTCGATAAGAATTAAGGGGGTGAGCGTCAGTCATAAGAGGGAAAAGCTGAAAAGGAGGAAAATTGAGGAACAGGTAAAGACCACATTCTTAGGCTGGCGCCGCAGCTCACTAGGCTAATCCTCCGCCCTGCGGCGCCGGCACACCGGGTTCTAGTCCCGGTCAGGGCGCCGGATTCTGTCCCGGTTGCCCCTCTTCCAGGCCAGCTATCTGCTGTGGCCAGGGAAGGCAGTGGAGGATGGCCCAAGTCCTTGGGCCCTGCACCCCATGGGAGACCAGGATAAGTACCCGGCTCCTGCCATCGGATCAGCGCGGTGCGCCGGCCGCAGCGCACTGGCCGCGGCGGCCATTGAAGGGTGAACCAACGGCAAAGGAAGACCTTCTCTCTGTCTCTCTCTCTCACTGTCCACTCTGCCTGTCAAAAAAAAAAAAAAAAAAGACCACATTCTTACCCAGTGGGGTGTGCCCTCTCCCTGTTACAGATGAATGGGGCCCCGGTGCCTGACATACAGGTGTATGGCTACCTGCTCCACACCCACTTGGCTGGGCGGGCTCTGCAGGCTGTGCAATACAGGTGAGGGAAGACCTTGGTTTGCCTTCTGTGTGTGGGTATAAGTTAGAGGAAGAGTTATTTACTCTGCATCATGAGGTTATGTTTGGCTGAGAATCAGGAAGAGCTAGAACTATCCCTACAGTAGAGATGACTGAGCGGGGCTGTGGAAGAAAGAACTGTTTTGGTTTATTTATGTGGGCAATTACGCCATTGGATGATGCACACTGCGTCTTTATTGGTAGACCCCTCCTGACTTCACCGTCCCATCTACGTCTTCTACCCTTGTTTCCCTCCAGAAATGGAACACAACTCCGAACAATCTGTAAAGATGATTCCTACGACTTCAATCTGCAGGAGACCCGAGATTTACCTGCTCGAGTGGAGATCAAGCCGGTGGGGTCCTGGGGGAGGAATGAGTAGAACTGAGGGACAGGCAGGATCAGAGCTCATCACTGTTAACCATAACCAGGGAAGTTCTGAGAGTGTGCCCGTAACTCTGTGCCTTACTCTGTCTTCTTTTACCATGACCAGGGAGATGAACTGCTGGTAGAATGTCACTACCAGACCCTGGACCGTGACTCCATGACTTTCGTGAGTACCCCTCTAGCCATCAGATCACCTTGACCGCAGCCCCAGAAGAGAACCCCGCCTCTGCATTTGGCTACTAGGTGGCTCTAGTTATTCCAGCTGGATCCCCTCCTTTCCTTCACTGGCATCACTATTTATCCATTCACACAAGTTTTTTCGTGTTCTCACATGGGTACAGGGATTCCCAAATTCTGTGTCAATGAGCCACTAAGACCATGCATGTGTTATATGTGGCTGAGACCATGGAAGCTGGGCTCTCGCTGCCTGGGTCTGAGTGTCAGCACAAGCAGTTAGTAGCCTTCCAACCTTCGGAACGGTGCAGCTCAGTTTCCTAATTCATAAAAAAACAAATACCATTTCCTGTCGCACAAGATTGGTCAATACATGAAACACCCAGTCACGCCTGGATTTGTAACGGAGGCTCACTTAGAACTAACTGTTGTCGCTTTGTTAAAAAGGAACCCAATTTGTGTGTCAGGAACAGGAGACCAGAGTGCAACTGGGACAGACGGGTGACTGATGTTAGTGGGGAGACAGACAGTCCTTCCCAGAACGGGACAAGGACAGGGGAGATGTAGAGGACAGGGCAGAAATATGGGATGTTTCTTTGGAAATAACGTCAATAATTGTCCTCTCACTGGGAACAGAGGAGAAAGCCTGAAGTGTGGTAATTAGTATTGAGTTGGCTCCGTATTTTAAAAGAAAGACTTCTCAGATAGAATGGCTTCCTAAACTACTTTCTTCCTGCCTGCTCTTTTCTCTGTGTGCCTTTGTGTATTAGTTTGTCCATCTCTCTGCTCTTCTTCAGGGAGGTCCCAGCACTGTCAATGAGATGTGCCTCATCTTCCTCTTCTACTATCCCCGGAATAACATCTCCAGCTGCCACGGGTACCCTGACATCATCTTTGTGGCCCATGAGCTGGGGGAAGAGGTGTCAGAGTAAGTTATCCTGGTGTGCAGGAGGGATCCTGGGGTGGGGGTGGGGTGTAGAAAAGGAGACCTAATCACCAAGTGCCGGGCCGGTGAGCCAGGATTGCTCAGTGGAAACCCTAGCCAGCCCTGCCTTCTTCACATGTGTCCCTGTCACTGTCTGGCTCTCCAAGTTCTGACCCAAGACAGGAGTTCTGCAGGAATCTTTCCACACAGGCACGGTCATTCAGGGGAGCAGATAAGCAGATCCCTGAAAGTCAGGTCCTGGTGTATTTTTTTTTCGGTCTGCCATTTTCACGTGTGAAGTGACAGTGTTTCCGTTCAAATCATGACTCTTTAATCATCTGGGAGTAAGGATTCTGAGACTCTGGCAGACCACTGAGATGACTTCCTAAGAAAAACGTCTGTCTGTGCAGCACATTGCATTTACACAAAACCTCAAGGCAACTACAGAGTCTCTGCAATCACTCCGCCCACCCTTCGGACTCCACGGCCCGCAGATGAAGAATCACTCCCTTAAAGAGTCAGAAGACCCCACGCTTATTACCTTTAATTTTCCTCTCTGAGTTCTAACGGTATTTCTTTTCTCTCAAATTAATTATGGTTGTCTCATCAAGCTGTAAGACATCCCTTATGGTTTGTGCCACATAGCATGGAGGCTGCCACAAATGAGGTACTTGATGCAAGTTTTGTCAAAGCTGCAAGTCAACACTAAGCTATTGTACTCTGCTGCCCTGATCCTTACCCTCTGCAGTCCCATGGAGGGTATGATGGCCATGAACAACGTTGAGTGGACCCCAGAGAATATTAAGAAGGCTGAGAAGGCCTGCAAGGAGGCCCAGCAGACAGTGTTAATCAAGACCATTGATGTGAGTGTCCCAGGAGGTACCATTCTCTAGGTCGAGGGGCGTTGCATGGTCTCAGACAAGGACAGGCAAAGAGCAGAATGAGATGAGCAAATAGCAGTTGGGGGTACACCTGTCAGGGAAGGGGGACTGAGGAGGTAGATGGGTTGTTGCCGCTCTTGGCTGTGGATTTGGCCAGAGCCCCCCAGTTAGACTGTGAGCTCTGTCAGCATTCTGGCCTCTAACCAAGGCCGGACTCAGGAAACGAAAGGAGACAGGGAGGCATCTGGCTTTATGCACTTTTTCCCTTGTTTTGCAGGAGGTTGTGGAAAACACAACAGGCTGGATTCCAAACATCACTCCCACTCCTCGGGGGCCCTGCTTGGAGTCCTCTGGAGGCAAAGTGGAGCCCCAGGACAAGAAGCCTGCGGGCTTCAGGGCAGCACCAATGGCCTTGCCCAGCTCCAGTGCTACCACCCTGAGGTGCCTTCCCCTGACCGCCCTCTTGTTTGTGCAGGGTGCCCTCTCCCGGCTCCTTGGCACACTGCAGACCAGGGGCTGATGCTCTTTCCTGCCGTCACTTAGCAGGGCCCCTCTTCTCAGCCCTCTCCTATCATCAAACCAGAAACTCCTCTTAGGTCCCCGTCTGTGTGCTCCTTCCCGTGACCCAGGCCATGAACCTGCAGCCTGAGCATTGCAATGTTCCCTAAAGGCTTGCCGGTGACACAGGATGAAGTCATCCACAAAAGCACTTGTGGAACACACGTGTTCTGACAGTCCAGCCCAGGGCTGAGCGTGCGGCAGTGAGTCCAGTCTTTAGGAAGTCCAGTGCCCAGTTCCCTTAGGACGATGCCGTAAGGGATGGGCTTGAGCAGAGGGAAAGCACGCCAAACCCTCCTTAGTCTGCACCTGCCCTTGGGGAAGCTTTCTTTGTCTCTGCTTCTGACATGCATGCCCAGCCCTCCTTGTGGGCCCCACGTGTGCAGTGCAGGGGGAAGGGTGATGGTCAAGGGAGGGACTTCCTGTGTAGGAACAATACTCAAGACATCACATTAAATAGAACTCTATTTGCTTCCTGTTGCCATCTCTTTCCTTGCAGCCTTTGGTCCAGGGGAGGCGACTGGGTACTTTCTTGATTTGTCAGTCTAAGGACCTAGTCATCCCAAATTCAACATTTAATACACAGCCCTGCTCTCCTCCCCTGTGTCTCTACTGTGAGAAGACCTGCTTACCCCCTCGAATGTCACGGCTCGAACTCAGGCCACCAGGTGTGAAGAGCCTATCATGCATAGCGGCCTGGACTGACCTCGGAGAGCAGGAGAATGGCCATGAGAGAGGTGGTCCTCTGGAGCCCAGGCTTGTCCAGAAAGTTCCCAGAGCAGCAACCAAGTACAGCGATTTGTGGGAGCTGAAATTCTGCACCACGGTTTCCAGGAAGGGTTAAGGGCAGTGGCTTCTCGGAGAGCTTCTGGGGGCGTTTCTGTATTTATTATGCACCTTGAGAAGCTCAGCACCATCTTCTCCTTCAGGATTTAAAGTCACCAAGCGGCCGGTGCCGCAGCTCACTAGGCTAATCCTCCACCTAGCGGCGCCGGCACACCGGGTTCTAGTCTCGGTCAGGGCGCCGGGTTCTGTCCCGGTTGTCCCTCTTCCAGGCCAGCTCTCTGCTGTGGCCAGGGAGTGCAGTGGAGGATGGCCGGAGTACTTGGGCCCTGCACCCCATGGGAGACCAGGAGGAGCACCTGGCTCCTGCCTTCAGATCAGCACGGTGCGCCAGTCGTGGCGGCCATTGGAGGGTGAACCAACGGCAAAAGGAAGACCTTTCTCTCTGTCTCTCTCTCTCTCACTGTCCACTCTGCCTGTCAAAAATAAATAAATAAATAAAGTCACCAAGCTACACCATGGGTTACCTTGCTTGTTGTTCATGCCCTCCCGAAGGGATCTCTATTTTGAATGTCCCAAGGCCTTTAGAGGGATGGCCTTAGAAAACGGTGTCATTCTTAAGGAGCCAAGCGTTGATCTAATGTCACCTTAGCCTGAAATCTCCATCCTCTGGATTGGTGAGGTGCACTGGGGATGAGGGAGGCAATACACCTGTTATCCTGACAGCCACTCCCCCTGGAGGATTCTGGACGCTCCGTTCTGAGGTTAGGCAAACCCCTCAGTGTTCACGTTCAGTCCTGCCATCCCTGTGTTGTATCTTCTCAATGACTGGCGCCACTTCCAGGTCTGATGGCGTGTAAGTAGAGGTGCTTGCTGTCCTTAAATCAAGGAAGCTTTTCCAAGCTCTTGATTATGAAAAATTGGCTTCACCTGATTCACAAGGCATTCATGTCACTGTTGGCCTTCTCTGTTGTCACCAGGCAAGGGAAATGCAGATGTCCCTTTGAGGAAATAGACTGAAGGCACCTGCCTGATATCTGAGGCAATCAAAGTACAGATGAAAATGAGGTCTGGACATAAACATTAGGAAAGGACTTAAATTTACCCCAACTTACAGGGAATGACACACGTCTGTAGTTCTAAGGGGTGCATTTATACAAGAATACTTCAAGGAATTTGTGGGAAATGGAACTAAAATATGTCTTGTCGAGGCAAAATAATTTAAATCTTCTCCAGAAGTTCATGGAAAATGCATGTTATGGAAAAAACTATGCATGGATTTATTTATTTATTTATATTTGTTTATTTTTTGACAGGCAGAGTGGACAGTGAGAGAGAGAGGCAGAGAGAAAGGTCTTCCTTTGCCATTGGTTCACCCTCCAATGGCCGCTGCGGCCGGGGCACCGTGGCTGGCGCACCGTGCTGATCCGAAGGCAGGAGCCAGGTGCTTCTCCTGGTCTCCCATGCGGGTGCAGGGCCCAAGGACTTGGGCCATCCTCCACTGCACTCCTGGGCCACAGCAGAGAGCTGGACTGGAAGAGGGGCAACCGGGACAGAATCCGGCGCCCTGACCGGGACTAGAACCCGGTGTGCTGGAGCCGCTGGGCGGAGGATTAGCCTATTGAGCCGCGGCGCCAGCTGGATTTATTTATTTTTAAAGATTTATTTACTTATTTGAAAGGCAGAGTTAGAGAGGCAGAGGCAGAGGCCCTGCTCACTGAGGCCATTTCGGGGAATGATCCAGCACACGGGAGACCTCTCTGTTCCTCCCTCTCTTTTTCCTTCATCTCCCCCCATCCACCCTCTCTCTCTCTCTAGCTTTGTCTTTCAAATAATGTTTTTAAGACTTTATGAGAAATGGAATTAATGAAAGTATAGGAGTGGGCATTTAGCCTAGCAGTTAAGACACGTGTGTCCTACATTGGAATACTGGGTTTCTGTCTCGAGCTCCAGTTCCTGAGTCTAGCGTCTCTCAGTGCAGACCTCAGGAGACAGCAGTGATGGATCAACTAACCCAGCTCCTACCACCCATGTGGGAGACCTGGATGGACTTCCTGGCTCCCAGTTTAGGACTCTGGCCCAAGTCTGGCCATTGTGAGCATCCCAGGAAATGGGAGTCCTCTCTCCCTCTCCCTGTTTTGCAAATAAATAAGCAGATGAAAATTTGGAAGAGATATATTTTGATGCAAAGAGAATTTAAAATCCCTGGGGTCAGAGTTGTGGTCCAGCGGGCTAAGCCACTGCGTGAGAAGCTGGCATCCCATACGTGAATGCTGGTTTGAGTCTCACTTGCTCCAGTTCCAATCCAGTTCCATGTTAGTGTGCCTGGAAAAACAGCAGATCATGCCCAAATTCTGCACCCACATGGGAGACCTGGATGGACTTCCTGATTCCTCACTGTGGCTTGACCCAGCTCTGACTGTTGTGACCATCTGGAGAGTTAGCCAGCGAATGGAAGATATCTCTCTGTCCTTGTCTACCCATCTCTCCTTATGTCATTCTTCTTTTGAATAAGTAAATAAATATTTTAAAAACGAATTGGAAATCCTTACATAGGTTTTTCATAATAGGAATTTTCCACAAAATGTTTGACCACCCCTCATCTATTTTGCCCCATTTCTCTTCCCTCCCCTCCCCTCCCGTCCCCTCCCCTTTCTCTTCCTCAATCTCCTTCCTCCTCCACACCTCCCTCTCCACTTCTTTCTCTCTCTTTCTTTCCCCTTCATGAAACTGATGACTGTCTCTTCTCCCTCTTTTGTAGAGTTGTAAGCAGTATCTAAATTTCTGCCAGGGTTTAGTAGCTGATCCTGAGCATGAAGGTGTCCAAGTCCACTAACTCAGGACTCTAACGTTAGAATCACCAGGTGATGGACTGGCATTTTGGCACAACAGTTTAAGCTGCCATTGGCAATTCTTGCATCCCTTACTGAATGCCAGTTCAAGGCCCAGCTTCTTTGCTCCTAAACCAGCTTTAGTGCACTGGGGAAGGCAGCAAAAGTTGGTCCAAGTACTTGGTCCCCTCCCAGTCATGTGGGACACCAGAATGGTGTTCCTGGCTCCCAGCTTTGGCATGTCCTACACCTGGAAGTTGCAGCCATTTTGGGAGTGGATCAGCAAGAAGAAGCTCTCTCTCCCCTCTCTCTGTATTGTTCTGCCTTTCCAATAAATAAATCTTCAAAAAATATCAGGTGACAAGGGCAGTTCCTAGGCATTAGTGGGTTATTAATGTTACCAATATGCATTCAAGATTGAGAATCAGATTTCTTGAAAATCTTGTTTCCTGGGTGGAACAGGAGTCACATTCTGGTTTCACACGGTTAAGCCATAGAAAAGCCACTGGTCAGTCAGAGTGGACAGCAGTGGGAAGTGCTCTGGAGATACTTTGTTTCTTATGGTTAGGCAGGGATGTGTGAGGACCTCAGAGAAGGTCACATGTAGGGGTCTCAGGGAAGCGGCTACTTGCAATAAGTAGCCAGTCAATAAGTAAGTAGCAGAGAAAGGAAAGCCCTTCCAAAGCCAAAGGTGGAAGAAATATGGAGTTAAAAAACAAGGCCCCTACATTACATCTCATACAAACATGAACTCAAAATGGATCAAGAATCTCAATCTGTGACCTGATGCCATCAAATTAACAGAGGAGAGCATTGGGGAAACTCAAGGCATTGGCACAGGCAAAGACTTCTTGGAAAAGACCCCAGAAGCACAGGCAGTCAAAGCCAAAACTGACAAATGGGACTGCATCAAGCTGAGAAGCTTCTGCACTGCAAAGGAGACACTCTGAAAAGTGAAGAGGCAACCAACAGAATGGGAGAAAATATTTTCAAACTACGAAGCTGATAAAGGATTAATATCCAATATCTACAGAGAGTTCAACAACAACAAAACAAGCAATCCAGTTAAGAAATGGGCAAAGGACTCCAACAGGCATTTTTCAAAAGAGGAAATTCAAATGACAGACACGTGAAAAATGGTCAGGATCACTAGCCATCAGGGGAAGGCAAATCAAAGCCACAGGGAGGTTTCACCTCACCCCAGTTAGAATGAAATCAGCAAACAATTATTTTTATTTTATTTTATTTTATTTATAAAATAAATTCTGGTGAGGATTCAGTGACTGTGTGCATCCCCTGTCTCCACAGTTAAGGAACACTATTTTTTTCTTTCTCACTATTCCTTGAACTCTTAGTGTAGAGTTAACGTTACGAGTATGAAGTAAAATAGATCATTGTAACAATTAAGAGAGGGAGTAAGAGAGGAAGGAGGAAGAAGGATGGGAGCACAGGCAGGAGGAGGGTGGGGTGGGAAAGTCACTGTGCTCCTGAATCTGTACATACGAATGCAGGAAATTAGTTGCCTTATATAAAACTTTAGAAAGGAAGAGACAGAATAGGGCAAGCTGAGTGCATGCAGGGGACAGACAGATAGCGTGTGAGGCAAGAAATGCACAGGAATGGGATGGGACATGGTAGAGATGAGAAAAGCAAGCAAGGAGTAAATCCAGCATGGCTTATGGGTCACGGCATGGATTACAGGTTCTTATTTTTTTAATTTTTTTATGAAGAATATTAGATTCAACAGAAGGGACAATCATTGAAATATTTAAACTGCAATGTTAAATATAATATATTGGAAAACACCATGATGTTTTTCTTAGTTTTTCATACTTTTTTTTTTACAGGCAGAGTGGACAGTGAGAGAGAGAGACAGAGAGAAAGGTCTTCCTTTTGCCGTTGGTTCACCCTCCAATGGCCTCCACAGCTGGCACGCTGTGGCCGGCGCACCGTGCTGATCCGATGGCAGGAGCCAGGTGCTTTTCCTGGTCTGCCATGGGGTGCAGGGCCCAAACACTTGGGCCATCCTCCACTGCACTCCCTGGCCACAGCAGAGAGCTGGCCTGGAAGAGGGGCAACCGGGACAGAATTCGGCGCCCCAACCAGGACTAGAACCCGGTGTGCCAGCTCTGCAAGGCGGAGGATTAGCCTAGTGAGCCGCAGCACCAGCAGTTTTTCATACTTTAAATGAGAATTATCCCTATAGATATGCAGTGTTTATGATTTAGACCAACAGTTATCTCAATATTTGTATAATATTTTGATAAAACATAAGTGAGCAGAAATACAGCCAGAGGCAGGGCAGTTGAAGCCCAGATGGCATCCTGTTCTCACCTCAGTGCTGAAGACAGACGCTTTGGAAGAACACTGTGGATCGCAACACATCTCAGCTGGGCAGGAGACAAACCAAGAGCTCTCCAAGAACTCATGCTACCTTCATTCAATGAGTCACCACCAAATTACAGTGGCCTTAGAAGAGCATGATGATGGGCCCGCACTGTGGCTTACTGGGCTAAGCCTCTGCCTGCAGCACCGGCATCCCATATGGCCACAGGTTCATGTCCCACCTGCTCCACTACCGACCCAGCTCTCTTCTATGGCCTGAGAAAGCAGCAGAAGATGGCCCAAGTGCCTGGGCCCCTGCACCCACATGGGAGACTAGAAAAAGCTCCTGGCTCCTGGCTTCAGATGGGCCCAGCTCAGGCCATTGCGGTCATTTGGGGAGTGAACCAGTGGGTGAAAAACCTTTCTCTCTGTTTCTCCCTTTCTCTGTCTGTAACTCTCTCTCCCAAATAAATAAAATCTTAAAAACAAAGAAGAGCAGGATGAATCTCTGATGTATTTAATTTCATCACACAAACCAGAGAAAATATTACAAGGACAAAATACGTCTTCCATATAAAATGCTGTCCATCACAAACATGCACACTGGCAACGTGAACTCCGTTGGCTCTTTAAGAATCTTTTGTGTCTGTTGTTTGTCAGAAAGTGTGTTCTTAGCTAGAGCACCCTAGAAGGTAACATGGGAATAGCAGCGAACATAAATAGCTGAAGAACAAAACATTTAAAAATAATAGAAAATTGGAATAATTACATCCATTAACTGTTTTGTAAAGTGAGGCGAGACGGTTGTTATTTAATTTAGCAATGAAACACTCTGTTCCATATTAAAAAAAAAAAGCTCATTTTTCCCCCGAAGCACAATTTGAGACACATTAGAGACACCACTTAGAACAACTTTCCCTTACAAAACTTGAGCTTGGAAAAAGACTCTCAGCATGGTCTTAGTTACGAAGTACCAGCACTAAGGAAAGACTGCTCTGCCCCAAGGAGATTCGAGTGGCAGGAGAAGGAAAAAAGCTGAAAGAGACATCCGCACGCCCAGGGAATGACATAATAGTTGTAATTATCCTTTGTGTAGTGTTTTGCAGACTGAAAATACATGGTGTGGTTTCAGATGTTTATCCAGTCCTAGGCAGAAACTGGAGGGAGTGCGTCTAAAGGAACAGTGCCTGCAGATGGAACTCTTAGATCTGGTCCAACGGAGTCTACTGTACGGATGAGGTCTGATAAGAGGCTCAGCAGCAGCAAGCTGATGCCTACTGCTACTCTTCCCCCCTGGACTGAATGGAGACTGCCCATGCCCTCCCGGTGCCTCCTGGCACAGGCAGATGTGTGGCCCTACACGCTTCTATCCAGGCACCAGGTGGGCTCCATTCCCATGGCATTGTCCTGACTTGTACTGTAATGTTAGCTCTCTTTCCAGTGGAAATAGGATTTATTCCAAGCCCCTGCCTTCCACTCCAGGACTTCTGTCTACTTCCAAGACTAAGTACTCTCCTCTCTTGAAGAGTAGATTCGTTATTCATTTTCTCATTTCCAATCAGCCAAATGCTACATTTAATAATTTCCATACAATGTTTGGAGCAGAAGGGAGGAGTGGTCAGGTGTGGAGAACTAGAGGCACTTTCCAATACACTGGAGACGGAGTTTCCTGAAGGTCTAAGAGCTCTCTTAAAAATAAGAAAGAAGAGTTGAGGGACAGAGGTTGTGAGCAGAAGAAATGAGATTAGCTCTAACCAATGACCCTCCCACAGTAAAAGTGTCACTATGGGAGCCGTGGGGTTCTTGTCTGCATGCAAGAAAGAATTCAGGGCCAGTGCCACGGCTCAATAGGCTAATCCTCCACCTAGCGGCGCCAGCACACCGGGTTCTAGTCCCGGTCGGGGTGCTGGATTCTGTCCCTGTTGCCCCTCTTCCAGGCCAGCTCTCTGCTGTGGCCAGGGAGTGCAGTGGAAGATGGCCCAAGTACTTGGGCCTTGCACCCCATGGGAGACCAGGAGGAAGCACCTGGTTCCTGGCTTTGGATCAGCGCGGTGTGCTGGCCGCGGCGGCCATTGGAGGGTGAACCAACAGCAATGGAAGACCTTTCTCTCTCTCTCTCACTGTCCACTCTGCCTAGGAAGAAAGAAAGAAAGAAAGAAAGAAAGAAAGAAAGAAAGAAAGAAAGAAAGAAACTCAGGCATGAGACAGAGAGCCCAGTGATAAGGCTTAATTGGGGATAGGGCATCCCTCAGGACAGAAGGGACAGAGAGAGGGCCTCTGCCCAGTTGCTTGGACCAGGGGAGAGCGAGGTTACATGGTTGAGTGGAGAGAATACACCTGGGCAGGCCAGGCAGGTGGCTCAGCAGAGAGCAGAGGGCTGAGCACGTAGTCCATCTGGACTCCCTAGGTTTTTTTTTTTTTTTTTTTTTTTTTTTTTTTTTTTTGACAGGCAGAGTGGACAGTGAGAGAGAGAGACAGAGAGAGAAAGGTCTTCCTTTGCCGCTGGTTCACCCTCCAATGGCCGCCGCTGCAGCCGGCGCACCGCGCTGATCCTGGCAGGAGCCAGGAGCCAGGTGCTTTTCCTGGTCTCCCATGGGGTGCAGGGCCCAAGCACCTGGGCCATCCTCCACTGCACTCCCTGGCCATAGCAGAGAGCTGGCCTGGAAGAGGGGCAACCGGGACAGAATCCGGCGCCCCAACCGGGACTAGAACCCGGTGTGCCGGCGCCGCAAGGTGGAGGATTAGCCTATTAAGCCACGGCGCCGGCTAAGGACTCCCTAGGTTTTTAAGGGAGTCTGTTTACCCACCTCCCCCTCTCCTCCAGGATAAAGGATGGAGAATCCTGGCAGAAGGGCTTCTTGGGTGAAAATTAGTAAATTCCTCCCCAGATTTGCTGGGCAGAGTAGGGGGGCTTCCCTTAGGGCATCTGAGGAGGTTTTATTGCCCCTTGTTATCAGGTAACCCATTTGGTCCTGAGGAGAGAGAATTCTCCTGGGAGCTTTCCTTGGGGGCAGGGCTGGGACCACCTGGGAGGTCATCAGGGTCTGAGCAGGACTTTGAAGTGCAGATGCTGGGCTCTGGAGCTTTCTCAGCAGGTGCTGGTCTTCAGGCCTCACACACACACACACACTCACACACACACACACACAGGCAAATTTCTGACTTGCCACCTAAAAAGAGGACTCCTTAAAGCAAAGTTCAGTGTTGACTCAGGCTGCTAACCCTACATCCATGGATTTTTTCACTTGGTTGGGCTTGGCTTCTGTGGAATCTTACCAGATATAGGGAAAACTCTATGACATAACATCCAATAGTGTTGGGTCTCCCTTTAGATGAGATGGTTTTGTCTCTCATCTCTTCTATTTATTTATTTATAAATCTGAGCTGATAATTTAACTTCTCTAGGATTCAATTACCTTTAAAAATGGAAATACAATAGTATTTTTTAATTTTCTGTATTTTATTTGAGAGTTAGAGCTACAGACAGTGAAAGGGAGAGACAGAAAGAACAGAAAGAAAGGTCTTCCTTCCGTTGGTTCACTCCCCAAATGGCTGCAATGGCTGGAGCTGCGCTGATCCGAAGCCAGAAGCCAGGAGCTTCTTCTGGGTCTCCCATGTGGGTGCAGGGGCCCAAGGACTTGGGCCATCTTCTACTGCTTTCCCAGGCCACAGCAGAGAGCTAAACTGCAAGAGGGGCGATTGGGACTAGAACTGGCGCCCATATGGGATGCTGGCTCCACGGGTGGAGGATTAACTTACTGCGCCACGGCACTAGCCCCTAGTATTTCTTTATATTTATTTTTATAAAGATTTGTTTCATTACTTTGAAAGACAAAGTTACAAAGTGAGAGGGAGACAGAGACAGAGACAGAGAGAGAAAGAGAGGGAGGGAGAGAGAGAGAGAGAGATACACACAGAGAGAGGTCTTCCATCCACTGATTCACTCTCCAAATGGCTGCAACAGCAAGGCCTGGGTCAGGCTGAAGCCAGGAGCCAGGAGCTTCTTGTGGGTCTCCTGCGTGGGTGCAGGGGACCAAGCACCAGGCCATCCTCTTCTCCCCACTCAGGCGCACCAGCGGGGAGCCTAACCTGCTATGTCACAGTGCTGTCCTTTATATTTCTAATAGGATTATTTTTACATATTTACTTAGATAATACATGTAAGACATTAAGCACAGTGACGTCACATAAATGAAAGCTATCAGGATGATTTTTACTTACATCATCTTTTCCCACACAGTGTCATGGAATCCATATTCCACCACAAACTGAAAGTCCAAAAGCTTCATGCTTATCTAGGCTACTGTGACAGAGAAGTGCCAGTTAGTGGTTAGGAGACCCTCGAAGGGTAACGTAATAAGGTGGGCATTGTGGCACAGAGGGTTAAGTCCCTGCTTGGCACATGTGTATTCTATATCAGAGTTCTTGAGTTTGGGTCTTGCCTTTGCTTCCAATCCAGCTTCCTGGTAATGCACACCCTGGGAGACAGCAGATCATGTCTCAAGCATTTGGGTTCCCACCATCCATGAGGGAGACCCAGATGGATTTCCAGGTTCCTGGCTTTGGCCTGGCCTAGCTCTGGTTGTAATGGGCATTTGGGGAGTAAACTAATGGGTGGACTCCTCTCTCTCTCTCTGTCTGCCTGTCTCTGCCTTTCAAATAAATTTTAAGTTCTCATAGATGAATGGATAAAGAAAATGTGGTATATGTACATAAAAGAATACTATTCAACCATAAAAATTGGGGAAATTCTGTCATTTGCAATGCTATGGATGAACGTGGAAGGTGCTGTGTTAAGTGAAATAAGCCAAATACAGCATGATCTTATCACTTGTGAAATCTAAAAACATAGATAGAGAATAGAACGGTGGTTACCAGAGGCTGAGGAGGGGAGGTGGCAATGTTGGACAACAGGTACAATGTTCAAGAAGAATCAGCTCTGGAACTCTGTTACACATTCTGTTATACATATCAATATAGCTAGGAGAGAAGACTTTGAATGTTCTTACTACCAAGAAATCATAAATATTGAGGTGATGGATGAGCTAATTATCCTGATTTGACCATTAAGCAAACTATACATGCAAAAAGCTACCATGTTATACCCAACGATTACGTATTTCTCTTTTAAAAATAAAACTTCAAAGAAATTTAAATGAAGTCATCTGTAAAATATTTATTTTTAATTAATTGAAAATAACAATATACCTATTATGTGTTAACATAAATAATATATCTTGTGAAAAATAAACATTTTACAAAACAAAAAGCAATCAGTAAGAATGGACTTGTCTCACACTTTTATCATTAAGTAAACTGTAAATAGACCTTTGTAAAAATTAAGGCATGTGAGAGGGAGGAGGAAGAAGGGTTGGGGCTGGGGTGGGGGGGAGTGTCACTATGTTCCTAAATCTATATATGTGAAATATATGAAGCTTGTATAACTTAAATAATATTTTAAAAGAAATCCGTTTAATGTTTGGTTTAATAGAAGACAGCTAGACTCTTGTATCTGTTTCAATATTCATCTACTGTGACACCACACAGCATAGAGTCCCTGGAAAATGCCACTGTATACCAATGGGAGGACAGACATAAAAGGCAAATAACAGCTTAGTGTTATTATGAACATATATTTGACCTTATGCTTCCTGGAAAATGTCCTGGGATCACATTTGGGAATACTGTCCCGGGGCTGAACTTTCACAATCCACCAGATCTGGTTTTAACTAAGAGTTTACTGAAGAAGTTCTGATTAAGAAACTTAAAAACATGCAACTGATGCAATCTCAATTATCTACAATTCTGCAGAGCTTAGAGTAGCCATAAATGTTATGGTTAGAGTACTTATATTTGCAAAAACATAGGTATCATGAAATTCCATATCTACTGGTTTTCTCTAATGGTTAAAGAGTATCATTTATGGCATTTACAATATAAGTAGATGGAGTAGCATCCCATATTGTTCTAACAGGAATGGTAGGAACTAAGGAATATATTCTCACAATGCAGCATTTACAGATATAACAACTGTTATACCTCTATAACTTAGAGGTATCAGATGGTGAGTTTCTTTATCTAGAACAGTAGCTGATATCTTGTCTGAAGCTATTGTGATATTTGGAATATAAGTGTGTACAGTGTTACCTATAATACTGCTAGAGTCACCCATATCAGTAATATTTACTCTGTGTCCTTTACTGCTTATAGTATTGGTGGTAGGAATAGCTGTAGTACCTGAAGGGTAAGGGTTTATAAGGACTCTATCAAAAGCTGTTATTGAATTTGTGAATTTTTGTTGAAACCATGTGTAGCTCTAGTGATGGTATGTGCTGTAATGGTGTTACCACGAGTAACTTTAATAGTGTCTATAGTGGTTATACAAGAGGAGTGACAAAGTCTTAGGAACTAACTACAATTGTACTCTCAGTGGTACAAAAAGTATTCACAACAGAAAAGAGTTGTGATGATGACATAACATAAACTGATTGTCTTTAGTGGGTACCTTTAATATCTGAAACAATTGCTATTGCACTACTAATACTTGTATTGGCAGTGACTGGTGTGGTGGTATCTCAAGTGCCTGTGAAGGCGGCATTTAAAGCATGGGTAGGGGTATCTGTAGAACAAAGAGTGGAAATGTTTCTGGGAAGTGCAGTTGGAGATGCATTAGCTGTGGTTGTGTCACCAGGGGTGCCTGTAGGAGGTGGAGCTGAAATGAGTTGAGTGGTAGTTTCTATAGAAGTAGAATTTGTAATCATAAAAACTATAATTAATCCTGCAGCTGTATTTGTGCTTCTTCCAGTGGCAATATTGTTAATATTTGTTGTAACTGAATGCATAGCAGTGGCTGCAGTACTTGTGATAGTATTATTATTGGTACCTAGATTAGAACAATTTGTGGGAGTCAATGTGGTGTGATCTAAGGATGGTGGTTTTAGCAGTAGCAGAATGTGGAATAGTGAATGGTGTCATGTCTGTTGTGGCAGTTTTAGCATCAGCAGTGGTTAGGGGGAGAGGAAATAAAGTCTTGAGTAGTAGGTAGTAATGTGTTTGCAGTAGTTGCCACAACAAAGATAGTATCTGTGGGGCTAAGGGTACCAGTAGTTGTTCTTGCTAGACTGAGGCTGTCTGTTGAGATTGTTATGATGGGAGAGGTGTCATGGCCCAGATCTGTAGAGGTATCACTGCACTATAACACTGCTCAGGTAGGTAGCACTTATTCCTTCTGGTAAGAAAGTGCTTACAGAATTCATTGACGTGGATTGGGAAGTGTATGTGTGGTGAATTTGGCTGTAGAAGTAACTGCTGTATCTGGACTCATGGTAATATATTTGTTACTGGTAGCAGCAACTACAGCATCTATTATCATGGTAGTTTTTGTATCTGGAGTGTTAAAATTAGTGCTATTTTCATTAGTAGATGTAGTAAAATTAGTGATTATATAAGTAGCAAATGTACTTTTGTTGTTGGAAATGTGCTCAAAATTGGGGCAGTAGAAAAGAGGATAGAAGTAAGAATAGGAGTAGGAGTGGTGGGAGGAGTTTGATAATGAGTAGTCATATCAGACACAGTATTATTTGTATCAATAGAAGAAGGAGTAGTCACAACAGGATCAATATTGCCAATGCTAGCAGCACTTGTACTTGTAGAAAAAGGATTAGTCACACCAGAAAGAGGATCAGTGCTAGCAGCACGAGTATTAGTAGGAGAAGGAGTTGTCACTATAGAAATAATATTACTAGTGCAATCATTACCAGACACTATAGGGAGTCATGTATTTGTAATAGAAGCATCAGTAGTAGTACTAGTAACATCAATGCTTAGAGGAGAAGTAGTTATCATAACAACAGTACCATTCACAGCATCAGTACTTTAAGAGAAAGAAATAGTCCTAATAGAGAATCTAGGGCTAGTAGCATGAGCACCAGTCATTGTAGAAGGTGTAGCCGTAATTCGAAGAGTAGCATTAGGGCTAGTACCATAAGTACTCAGATCAGAGGGAGTGGTAATGCTAGAATCATAGGCGAAGGTGTAGTTATAACAGGAAAACCAGAACTAAGGCTAAAATCAGCAGTGTTTGTTATAAAAGGAGTATTAGCTTTAAGAACAGTAGTACTAATACTAACATAACCAGTACTTATAGAATAAGCACTTACATTAGGAATAGTAATAGTACAGGTCCTAACATTAGTAGTACTTATAGAGAAAGAAATAGTTAAATTAGAAGTAATAACATTAATGCTAACATCATTGAGACTTGTTATAGGGGAAGTAGTGGTAAATTCAACAGCAGTACTTTTGATAGGATCAGAACTATTTGCCACAAAAAAGTAGCTGAGATTGTAACAGTATCATTAGAGTTACTAGTAGTAAAACATGTAGGGAAAGGTACAGTTATATTTGTAATAGTAATAGTAATGCTAGCCTCAGTAGTGTTGGTAGGGATGAAGTACTTCAGGCAGAGGGAACAGATGTATCATGTTAGTTGCTGCATCAGTAGTACTTGTTGGAAAAGGAAGGACTGTGACTGGAGTAGTAGCATTAGTATTAATATTGGTAGTAACTGTAGAGTAAGAAGCAGTCACATTGGATAAAACAGTACTTGTGCTATCATTACTAGGGCTTGTGGAGGAAGGAGTGGTGATATTAGTAATAACAGGATTAGTGCCACCATAAGAAGGTGGAGTTGATAATGAATTGATTGTCATAGCGACATTAGTACTATTTTTTTGCGATACAGCAGTACTTGTAAGGGAGACA